CATCAACTACAAAGACAAGTTACTGATTGCTAACAAATCCTATCTTAAATCTGTCACGCTTATTAAAACTTCTACTAATCAGACATGATTTAATACCAACAATATCTTCAAGTTGCCTGTTTTTATTTAGTTATACATAAATTAATGAAAAAAAATTGAAAGTAACAATGAAGTCATTGGCTTTAGTTTGCAAAATAAAATGTCAAAAATTCACTTGATATCTTAGGACTTGCACAGTTGTTTTGTCAATTGCATAGATTAATAAAACTTTCAAAATTTAAAATATAATCATTGTTTGGAACTTGTGAATTAAGAGAATGCTAGACATGAAGAAAAATAATAACATACATTTGCAGGAAAGCCATTATAGAAATTTTATTAGAATTTCTCAGATACTCATTTTGAAATGCTTTAGAAAAAAAAAAAAAATCTAAATTAGACAAATGCTATCATATATTTTTTTAACAGATATATATTTATACTTGGTATATAAAAGTTGGTATGACAGAACGGAAAAGATAGGAAACAGAAGGGATTAGAGAAATTGAGGCCAAAGAGGCAGCAATCCAAAAGTGCAGAGCAATAAAAAAAAAACAAAAAAAACACACAAAACAACATACTGGAGCATGAGATTTGCCATAACCCGATCCAGGGATGTCAGCAGTTGATGCTGCACCAGAACCAACACCACTTGCTGTAATTGAAAAAAAAAAAAAAAAAAAAAAAAAAAAAATTACATTTTGTTTTACAAAATCAATGAAGTTAATATTTTGATGAAAGTGAACATCAATGCAGAGATTACAATTTAAAAAAAAAAAAAAAAAAAAAAAAAAAAAAAAATCATTTCTTTATATTTACAATAAGTATCAAAAGTTAAGGAAAAATAAAGATTCAAAGGATATTTAAAGAAATTACTATAAATCTACTTGACAAAATAATGAAAATTTTAACTTCAATATTTCTAGGAACTTTAAATGTTTATATTGTCCAAAATGGAAAGATTACAATTGTTTTAATTGTTATAAAATCAAGAAAGTCTCACCTTTCCCACCAGTATTATAAGCATGAGATCCATAAGTCTTCTGGTACTGAGTGGTACCAGTATTCCCCCCATGTGCAGTATTGGTCACAGGTGGCATCTGTTAATACAGAAAAACTCATCATTACTTAAAGTACCAAAAATTCTATCACACAATAATTGTTATCAAAGAACAATTTTTTTTCTCTCTCTAAGTACTAACCAATGAAAATTTTCAAATTTGGCAACTGATCACTTTGGGTAAAGCATGTGGAGTTTCTATTGATTTTAGGTGCAGGTTTTATATGTACCATTTCAGATCAGATTTTACATAAGTCAAAACATTGTTTTCTACATTTTTTTTTCTCATTATAGAACCTTTTTTTTTTTCCTCATTATAGAACCCTTTTCTTGCATAGTTATTTTTCTTGCAAAATGTAATGAAAAGTTTTCATTTTTTAAGGGACATAATTACGTTTTAACAAACATTTTAATTAAAGCTTATTGCGTTACTTGTTGCAAAAATGCAAATTAAGCAGTAGCACACACTTTGTCTACAAACTTTAAAATTTATACAAACAATTTATTAAATTTTTGACAATCCACTAAAATTAAGAGCAGAAATCAAACCATTCTGTTTATTACGATATTAGTCTCAATCAACTTTTTCTTTTTTTAATTAAACAAAGCTACAAAATATTCAAATGTCCATTGATAGAGCACTTACAGCAAACATTGTGTGATACTGGAATCCAGCAGCTCCAGGCAATACTGAAGGGTAGTAGTAAGGATAATGCAAGTTTATATATGGCTGCTGATGGGCTGACTGGGTGGACTGTTGTTGGGTGGTGGGTATTGGTGATTGGGCTTCCACCCGACTCAGTTTATTATCAGTGGCTAAAAGAGAACATGCATGTTTGCATTAGCATACTCCTACCAACAGAATAAAAATGTTGTGGAATGAGGGGAGTGGGGAGGGGGAGAGAAAAATCAACAGAATAAAAAAAATTGTAGTGGAAGAGAAGAAAAGCTACAATATGAATACTCTCATCCTTGTTGACAAGTCTGCAGTAAAAGTATTTGCAAGATAGTCATATTTATGAAAAATGCAGGAAAGATTCTGTTGGTTAATCTGTTTTGCACTATGAGGGAAGTTTAAAAAAGATAACCATGCTTTATTTTATCCTTGCATCAATATTTTCAACATTTAATATTCGTTTTATATATAAAATTAGTATTTGTGCTATTGCAATTTTGATTAAAAAGTTGCAAAGTTACAGAGTAAGACAGTGAATACTGAACCAAACTTCAATTAATTTTTACAAACACCTCCCCATATTTCACACATTTAAATTTCAATAGAGCAAAAATGTTTTATCTTTTGAATCAGATGTTCTTCAATAACCAAATCTAGGCTATTTTCTTTATTGATGTTAAGTTGTACTAGGTTTTCAAATGAAAATAGCATTCCAAGCAACATTTTGCTCTAAAATTTTTCAAGTTATAATATTAGTTCTAGCTATTATCCTCTAACAATATTTTGTAATATAGGCAATAGTTTTTGAAATAGGAAAATTTGCTTATGGCACCAGCATATGTTAGATGATTTAAAAATTTTCGTTTTTAGAATTTACATGTGCTAATTTATATGTATTGGCTTACCTGAATAACCTGGAACACTGGCTAGGGTAGCTTGCTCTCGGCTAGTCAATGTGGTTGGCACTGGGAATGTTGCCATATCATAATAATTACTTGCCTGTTATAAAAAGAAAAAAAAAAAAAGAAAAAAAAAGCCCAGAATTAGCAAATACAGCTTATAAGATAGAATTGAGAAACATGATGGGAGGGGTGGGGGGATATCAACTTAAGTGTTACAAAACTAAGATTTTTAAAATTCCATAGTACAAGTTTTCAATATAAAATGTCATTTAGATTATTAGAAAATGAATTTAATTTTAAGAGCTGAAAAGAAATGAGCAGATAAAGTAAAAATTTATGCATAGTGTAAAATTAAGACTTACGGGCAAAAAGGTTATTTGCATATTAATGACACTCATAGTTCAAAGTAATGATCACTGAAAGCTTGTTTAACTTTAATACATTCAAATAAATCTATAGTGCAAAACAGAAAAACTAAATATATTTACTGAAGAATTATTCGTAATAATTAAAAGAAAAAAAAAAAAAAAAAAAAAAAAAAAAAAAAGAGGGTGCTAGTAATTCTGCTCAAAACAAAAATATTTACCAATGGCATCCTCTGCTGAATCATTTGCAGCTCTTCATAACTGGTATACAATGGTTGCTGAAGACTCTGAGATAAAGACTGTATAAAGGATAATAGTGAAAAGAAAAAAAAAGTCAATTTATTAGTCTAGTATTATTGGGGGCAAGTATGCATATAAACAAGTTGCAATTTGTGTGTGTGTGTGTATATATATATATATATATATATATATATATATATATATATATAGTGGGAGAAAGAGTACAAGTGAAAAACAATACTAACATATTGATACACTGAATTTTTGACAAATGAGGAAGAATTATACACTAATTCACTTTGACACTAAATAGCACTATTTTCTTATATTGGAGATTTATAAAATATATCAAGTTGGCTTCAATGTCAAGTGATGCAAGGAAGATCAATTTATATCACCTACTGAAAATTAAACCATTCACCACAAATATGATACTTAAGACAGCAGGAATAAAAGTATTACCCAACAGATGGTTATGTCCCAATAAAAACCTTGCAGATAGGTAAACAATTTTAGTAACAACATTCTACAGAAAAAATAAGTTAAATAACTGTAAATGAATTTCTTGAAAGCAAGCAATAGTTTTAGCTACCTAAATTTTTCGTGTTTGTAATATTAAATTTTTTATGCTTTAAGTTCTTATATCTAGATAGAAAAAAAAAATGACTAGGACATAGACAAGGTTTAATAATTCACAACCTAGAAGTGAAACCTCCAAAGTAACTTAGCACTTTTATATCAGTAACAGTTTATGAAGCCACTAAGTTGCATATATCTGATATAAATAATCAAATTGTTATAATAGTCAACCAAAATTTTTTTAATAGCCGCTCTCAGTGCTTCACCATTTGAAGGTAGTTTTTCTGCAACTGTTTCCAACAATTTCCCATAAATTTTCAATTGGGTTCAGATCTGGGCTGGTCCACAGTCAGTACATTTTTGTTATATTGATCCTGTTCAAAAAAAATTCTGAATCTTTGACCAGCGATAAGGAGCACCATCATGCATAACTATTGTGCACTGATGAAGGTCTTCTAACATGGTTTTTATGCATAACATAGCCTAGGTTTTCCAGTTAATTTGCAGTATAAGCACCAAAAGTACATGGTAATGAAAATCTTACATTATGGTGTGAAATTGCCCAATTATTTAAAAAATAACATTAAAAGTTTGCACTATTACCGTTTAGGAGATATGGACAATGTAAATTTGACTTCGCTCACGTTGCAGAATGGCTGCCATTACTAGCTTTGTTTACATACATTTGTCTCAAGTAGTCATGTGTGGAAGCTTCACTTGTTTTGATTCCTGCACAATTCCAAATATAGCAGTAAAAGTGATAAAACGAGAGAAAGAAAAAAAAAATGTCCCTCCTCCACCCAACGGTTTTATTTATTTATTTATTTTTTAAAATTGTGCTGTGAAAGTTTCCTTAAAATCTGAGGATTAAAATAGAAAAAGATTTAAAAAGAAAATTTTCAAGGATGGGGGGGGGGGGGAGAAAAGGTTCACCCATGATATTTATTTAGAAAAAGCTTTCAATTGTTTCTTTAACAAATTTAAATAAAAATAAAAAAATAAAATAAAAAAAAAGCATTCATTATTTAATAAAGCTTCACTTCTACAAACACTTAATTGGAAAAAAGGAATTTATACCTATTAAATAAAAACTACTCATTTAAAGCTAAAAAAAAAAAAAAAAAAAAAAAGTGCATTTTAAAATAACTTTCATGAAAACTGTGCAGTAATCAAGATACAAAAAGCAGTAGAAAGGCTTTTAAACTACTCAAGGCAAACATACGTAAACAATGCCAGTAATGGCAGCTGGACAATGCGAAAGAGTTTGAAACTACATTGTCAATAAATCCTAAATGGTAATTGAGCACAAACTTTTGTAATTTTCAAAATAATCAGGCAATTTCACACCATAATGGAACATTTTCATTACTATGACCTTTTAGTGCTTATACTGCAAATTAACTGGTTTTCCTTGGCGCCCATTTTTCCGCTTGCTGCTAAATATCCCTAAATTTTGGAAATTCATGACAGCAATGCTGTTTTGCTATAACCTACTTTTACACTAATTTTACACCCAGAATAGCTTTTATTAAATGGACCATTTGTGTAAATGAAAGGAAGTATCCCCCACAATTTAAACCTAATCCACTACACCACAGCCGTTTGAGGTTTCCTATAGCCCCACTAATAAAGTCAATTCAGGTTTGCTATGGTAAAAATTTTCTATCTCAAGTAAAAATCATCACAAAAATGGTAAAGTCATTTTGTCACAGATTATTTTCTCTAAAAAATAAAAAAAGATTTTCATACTTTTATAGGGGTAAAATATTGAAAAATGACTGATTTATCAGAATCTAAACAAATATCAAGGAAACTTGATCTGAACCCCATAAAACTAGGTATTTTCTGAAAGTAAACAATATGTTCTTTCATTTAAAAGTAAAATTGGCTGGTGTAAATGATTCAATTTTTTTTTCAGGTGGTAAAATATGAAAAAATAGTGAAAATTTTGCAATTTTTCTTGTTCTAAACAAAATTTTTCACCATTAATGGGAAATTAACCATTTTGGGGGGAAAATCAGAAAGCCTAAATCACAATCAAACTATTTCAGGCATAAAATTGAGAGTTTTGAAGGAAGTCAACAGTCCTAGGGGGTCAAAATGCAGCAAAGTCAATTGGTAATTTTCAAATTGCCATAACTGCCAGGGGTTAAAAAAAATTGACACCCGCCCACGGAAATCTTTAGTAAAAGGCAAAAGATTTCTGACCACCAGAAACCAGAAGTGTTTTTTTTTTTTTTAACCCAAAAAATAGCAGTGATAAGGAAAATTAAGCCAAAATGACATATCTGGGCCAAATGTCAGCCAGCAATAAACGTTTAGAACAAGTTATCTTGTAATAAAACCCACCACTCCCAGATCAGAGCAAAGAGCGAAAAAAAAAAAAAAAAAGGGTCAGCAATAGTAGGACTTGATATAAGGTTTTTTTTTTTTTCTTTTTTCAAACCTAACAATGCTTTGATATGTTAGGTTTTGTTTTTAACACCCAGTGACCCGGGTGATGACAACAACACTTAGCAGACAACTGTTTTTTTTCGCAGCATGTCTTGTATTTCCCATCATTGGGCCATTTAGCCGTTCCTTTTATTCAATGATGTTCACACCAAATTAAGGAAAAATGGATGAAGCTTGAATGATATTATTTTGAAGTGAAAATAAATATTTTTTTTTCATTAAAAAAACTGATTTTTTTCTCCGAAAGTTGGGCGTTTCTTAATGCTAACCACTGAGTGACATTTTCCACAGCCAAATTGAAGATTAATTACCAGTGAATAATTCCATGTGCAAACAATAGCTGTCTGGATCCTATAACATCGCCTGAAAAGGTCCTGAAGTTTACTGATTGATCGAAAACTTGTTGCGCATAATTATATTTTTCCCCCGGTCAGTTTCTTTTATTTCATCTTGATGTTGTCATTTTCGGACAGCCAAGTCATCAAGGATTCAGGAAAACAGTTTGGCATAGGTTTGCTTTAAGAACTTTACATTCTATTAGGTGTTTAAGATGTTACTGACAAATGGGATTTTTCACTGAATATTTTGTTTATGCGCCATGTTGGATTTTCCTATATGACAAAATCAAGGCTTTTAAACAGCTGTGACACAGATATAATTAAAATGGCTGCTAATTTAGCAATAACAAATTTTTTAAAATAACCTTGTTACAGCTATATCACTTTTCCCCAAATAGGGTAAAGAGAAATTGTCATGACAGCCAAAATACGTTTTACTTTTGATTTCTGCATGCAGGAAACAGAATTGTTTAAAACAGGAAAATGAGCCATGTTGAAAAGTTCTTGTTCCTAATCTACTTCTCAAAATCTGAGTAAATGATCAAACCTCAGATGCCTAGTTTTGAAAGGTTCTTTGGTCAAAGCCAAAACTTTTCAGCACATTTTTTACATGCATCATAAATAAAATAAAAGCCCTTAAATATATTTAGGTGAAACATGTCAAAAGAGAAGAACCATTTCTAGTCGTGAAAAGATCATTTAACAAGGTGTAGAAAAAAAAATCCGAATCTCAAACTAACAGGATAAGTGTAATAAGTTATTGCAAATTCAATAATAAATCAATTTTCTTTGTAATCTTCTGATAACGGAAATGTAAACTAATATGGAGAAATAACAAGCAAATTTACTTACAAAGTAGGGTGGTAATGTCCCTTGTCCCATAATGTATTGATGGCTAAGAAGTGGGACGCCAGGAGGTAAATTAGGAGGCGCTTTCCCAGCTGAAAATATTTTCATTAGATTCAAAATATTGTACAAAGTTATTTAAACCAAAATAGGGTTTAAAAAAAAAAAAAAAAAAAAAAAAGATCATCAATAACCAAATCATATATATTTAATGAAAACTAATGAAAGTATTTATAGAAATATCTGCACTATATGCAGGATATTTCACATGTATAGATTATGGTAACAGTTTTATGAATTTTACATTAGGCACGTTATAGAATGAAACTCCAAGAAACATTGTTGGAATTAAAAATTGTGATTACAGAATGTGTGCAAAGATTCCAAATAAATATTTTGGGCAAAAATGTCAATACTGCCATTGTAATAAAGTTACGAAAACAACATTAATGTGAAACGTATGCTCCAGGTTATGAAACTAGTTTCAGATTTTGTTAGCTATTTTATTTCTTAACATGCAAGACTGGAATGCCATTCTGAATGCTGTACAAAGTTCAACCTGGTAAACCATCTTCTTCAAATGCCCCTAGAGTACTAAACCAGATTTTGAATGAACAAGCTAGCTACATCATCAAATGACTGTCATTGAACCCAGCTTTAATTATTAGTTTTCCTTGCAAAATTGTAAAAAATGTGTTCTTATTGAATCATGAGTCCATGTGTGCTTAAAAAAAAGTTTGTCAGCATTATCCTTCTGTAATTCCACCACCTATAAAGCTCACTCCAAAACATCAAACCAACTTTTGTGCTGATGTCTTGAAGCCAGTGAGGAGAGTTTACTTTGCTCTATCCATCTGGACCACTGAGGATAGCATAGTTTAAAAGAGAATGGTTGAAAAACCAGTCTTCATGTATTTTGCTGCTGCCGATTTCATTTGATTTACCTTATGAATATCTTCATAGTGATCTAGTGATCAAAGTTATGTTTTACTACTTGGATTTACAACCAGATATTTTAAAATTTCACTTGGAAAAATATATAATAAATTAATTCATAGCAATTAAGAGAAAGAAATTACTAACTTTGTTTTTCTCCTTAGAAAATTCAGCAATACTGGATTAATCAGAAAGGAGTATAATTTGAATCTTAGATATTAAAAGAAAATTTTAAATTATTATACTTTTATATTCATTATCTCAAAATGTAAAATAAAAATGTTTTTAAAATTTCTTTTATTGAAAAAACCTGTAAACTATTTTTCACAGGGCTCCCACAGATCTGTGTTAAAAAAAAAAAAAAAAAAAAAAAAAAAAAAGTTCAGAGTTTTTCAAGGACTTTTCCAGGACTATGTTAAGTTTCAAGGACTGAAACTTGTGTGAACACACATAAGTGAATGGTGATCAATTTCAAAAATACAAATTTTGTGATTTCTTTTAATATTTTGACAGATGAGATATTCAAAGAGAAGCTACAGCTAGTTCCAATAATTCATGTCACATGTATCAGTTGAAAGCAGTGAAGAAATCAAAGTATTGAAGGCTAAAACAACTGAATGCAGACCTGGTTATGGTAGAATTTTGTGCAGCTTCTTACTGCTACACATTTCAGCTATCTAGACTTACTCATGGCTTTTGTTGCACATGACACAAAACAATGTCACAATTGGAAGCACTGCAGAGAAGAGCCTTAGTTATGCAGCTAAATAGTCCATGAAAATGCACTGTGCAACCAGAGCCTGCTGTTTCATATTGTCAGTGGAAATTTCCATATTGACCGAGAAGTCTCTCTCCATTAAGAACTGTCCATGAAAGAGTACCAGCAATCTGCAATTTTCTAATTTTTGATATTCTTTGTTGCTAGACAAAGAAGAGTATAACAGTGTCCAGACAGTCTTCAAGCTTCCTGAAATTCTCAAAAGCCATGTTTTCAGCAGCCTTCTTGAACTGACTGATGATATCACAATCAAACTTGCTGACTTGTCCATCATGTGAGAAAGATGTCTTTTCAGACTGTCTTCTGTGACAATTTTTGTCACAAATGAATTCAGGGTTCAGCTATGCAAGTGACCTTACAAGAAGGTAACTAAGGGGATACCTTGCCAGAAGTTTCTCAACAATGGTGATGAACACTGCATACAGAATTGCAACGAAGGCAAACTGATCTCTTGTTGGCACAATTCCTTTTTTGGATTAATTTTTCATACCCCTATCTGTCAAAAATCTACACTATCTTTGCAGTATCTTTATGCATGTTTGGGTTTGACAAAATTCTTACAGATTTGTTCAGTTTCAAAAATAGTTTCAAAAATGTAATCTTTTTAATGTGCTCTTCCTTTACAAATCTTAAGTTTCATGATCATGCTAAATAAGAAAGTACGAAAAACAAGCAATGATTTATAGTTCAGATATTTTATCAGAAACATAAAAATATGTAGTTTCACTGTAAATAAAGTGTCATTCCTGTTTGACAGAACTGCAGAGAAGGTCTGGGGTTAATTTTTCTGTTTTTCTAATTAATATCTAGTTGTTCACATGTTAATACATTTTCTAACCATCTATGGCAGAAATACAAAAGTAAAGGGTTCAGGGTTGCCATATTGAACTTTTAATATAGGTACCTTCACTAATTTTCAATACCTTGATTTAAAATTAATTTTTATAAATGAAAAAAGCTTTCTTGAAGCTTTCATTTTAGTTTTAATTGAAAGTTAAAGGATTAAATTTACTATTTCCAGTAAACAAAATACTCTGGTGTATTTCAAACATTAATTATATGGATTGAAGTAATTTTTTTTTCTAAAATAGCAGATTAGTGCCCCCATCTTTAATTTCTGTTAGTCTTTCATCGCAATGTAATTCTGTATTAAAAACTCTAAAAATAAAATATATTTTTCTGAAATTTTATTTGAGGAATATTAGCTGGTTTAAAGCATAATTCGTCTGATTTAAAAAAAAAAAAAAAAAAAAAAAAAAAAAAAAAAAAAAAAAAGAAAATTATTTACTTTAAGTTTAAAACAAGAGAAATGGACTTTTTTTTAAAACAAACAGTAGCAGTGATTTTTTAACCACCAACGGCCATTCTTAACATAATGAGCAATGACAAGTGCTGATAAGGTGTTGAAATGTTTATTATTGTTCTACAGAGACTATCTGTTAAAACACAATTTAAGAAAAAGGGTGAGTCCCATTTTTATATAATTTTTAAGTACTCAGTAATCTTTAAAATGTTGGAAATTATTCTCTGTAATTTATTTTTTAGGAATGTTGACTTTAAATTTACTATAGTCATCACTCTTATTTTCTGATAATGCTGTATATGGTCCACCAGACTTTCAAAAATAAGCAAGTTACATAATATCTTATATACATAAAAACAATAAAATTATTTCACTTAATAACAGTATCACCTAACTGGTTGAAAGCAATATTGAATTTTAAGATTTATAAATTATTATAATTTGAATTAAGGAAAAAAAAAAAAAATTCTTGGCATTATTCATCAAAAGATTTTTTGTTGAAACAATAGTGTACTTAATAAATCTTATTTATAAAAGCAATTAAGAGTTTTTTTTTTTTTTTAAAAATAATGTCAGTTTCATTGCATTTTTTATTTTATGATTCTAAGCATATTTTTGGGAAATGAGTAGTAGTTTGAAAAAAATTTGTTCTCCTTTCTCCAAGGAGCCCTGCTTTTAACTAACAAAAATTTAATTTCTTGAAATTTCACGAAATTAAATAAGTGGGGATAACGTGTAGAAAAAAAAAAAAAAAAAAAAAAAATGTTCATTCATTTGTGAGTGAGTCCTGAAAGTTTCATTAAAATTAGGCAATACTTGATTTTTGCAAGAATTTAAATAAATGAAAGGCACTAAAACACTAACTGTAAGTATTATGTTGGCCACTAACACATTTTAACCAAAATTTCAAACATGCTAGTAAGGATTAAAATATTTTGGTATTTCCTCTCAATAATAAACATTTTGACGACAACTCTTTGTTTTATTAAGTTTGGGGCTCTTTTTCATCATGCTGTGCTGTTTTTTTTTTTTTTTTATTCAGCAAAAAAAGTGGATGTACCTATTTTAATATAAAGACAAGCAATAAAAGCCAAGTAAGTATTAATATTTCACCCCCCCCCCGTACACACAACAGGTAATCATTAACCTGCAAACTTTAAAAATAGAAAATGTACTTTTGATATGTCTTTTGATAGAAAATAAAAGAATGCTATCATTTTTCCTGGCAACATTTTGTCAAACTTGTTACTTTTGACAACAATTACAATCATAGATACACATTGACATGCATAAAGTAGCTATTTTTCAGCATGAATTTGTCCACCACTGAATAGAGATCAAAAGGACTGGACTTTTGACATTTCTTCAAATTTTAGAAAATACTGATAAATATTGAGATTCTATTAAAATGTATTTTATTACCGTAACATAATTTATTTTCCTTTCAACTACAAATTCAATGAGTGTAAATTTATCTTTGACTTAGAGGGTTACTTGTCTCTGAAGCCCTTTATGTTTACTTCTCCACTTTTCTTGTTGAGTGAGGGTAGTAGCTAGAAGACACTTTTATATTCTTTCTCACTCGTCATCTAGACAAAAAAAAATACAGAAGTAACTATGAGGTCATGAACTCGTTTTAATCAAGGAAACAAACCAGTTTGCAATAATTGCCAAATATTACTGACATTTTTTAAAGGACAATTTTAGCTTGTAAAAAAAAAAAAAAAAGCCACATTTCTGGGATTTGGCATTTTGACTTTCATGAATCGATAAAAAGGGTGTGTGTGGTCTGCCCAATTTAGAAACTTCCAGGACTTAAGTCCTGGAAAAGGCCCCGACAATTTTCCAGGACTTGTATGAACCCTGCAGATAATAGAAAAAAAAATTTATTCAACCTGCAATTTTAGACTACTGTTAGCTAATGAGTAGAGTACTTACTGTTAGCCAATTGGGGAGCTGCCTTAGTGGATGGTGTTGTTGTAGTGACAGCCATTACAGAACCTGATGTTGTGGAGCTGGTCAAAGATGGCGTTGTGGTAGTTGTCGTCGTCAAACTCACAGAAGTTGTGGCAGCCGAGACAGAATGGTCATACTGTTATAAAATGCAAACATTTAGATACTAACTGTAGACATTTAAAGCTTAATGAAAAAGTCACATTAGTAAAAGATACTTTATTTGAAAATATGGGCAAATTTTAGCAAAAAATCAAAAGGTAAAATTCAAATATACATCACAAATCCAAAAGTTAAAACAATGTTTTGATGGAGATGCTAGAAACGACCATTAGTTGATCACTCAAAATATTTATTTGATATGAAACAAAAAGAGTTTAAGAGCAAAAAGAGATCAGTTGAATATCTTATCAAAACAAGCAGAGGAGCTGAAGTAATATTTTAATATCCATTTCCCCTAACTTACAAAAATATTAAAATCTTAGATGTGCAGACACATTTGTCAAAGGTACATGGCGAGTGAAAATGTATCCCATTTGGAGACTTGTATGTGTGTATACACGTTCAGCTGCTAGTGGTGGAAGTACATTATAGGAGGGGGTCAGTGCCGTGGCCACTGCTGTCACTTAATATGGTTGTAGAGGCCAATATGTAAGCCACAAACTCACCTATAGGGTAAGGCAAGAGAGCCTAGATATTGGCACAATGTCAGTTGCCCATTACTGATATAGGGCATGCCGTTCAGTCCACCATTGTTGAAATGCAGTGTGTAATTGACTTGTTGCTATGCCACATGTGGTTTTCCAGCCTTTCCTATCAAGAGCAAGAGGTTCAAGACAGGTGAGGTTTATGTTGCAGCGCTTAAGGTCTTTGGTGTAGTCACCCCCCACCACCACCAACTTGGTGAGGTAGGTGTTCGTCAGGTATACAAATAGTATGCTCTAATCAAACAAGAGGCTTGTTGGTCACTGCTGCTTCCATACAGATAGTGGAAGACATATTTAGAATCTCAGTGTTTCGCACTCATTCATTCCAGGACAGGCCAAGAATTTTCTGAAGGCACCACAAACACACTAGCTAAAACTTTAGAAACTACCATCTAATAAGATGTTGGCTCCTATGTTCCTGTAAAACAGCTCTTACTCAGGACATTAACATTAGATCGTAACTGTTATAAGCTACATCGTAAGAGTTATGCAGAGTAAACTCACTGGCCCAAGACATCACATTTGAGCTCAACAGGACTTACTTGGGAGTGTGGTAACTAGAGCAACCAGTATTTTGATGTTTCTGAAGCCATTTTCATACTAATTGTGCAGTGTGAAAGAGTGCACTGTCCTGTTGAAAGATACCACTGTCATCATTGGAGACTGCTGCCACAAAGTGTACTTGGACTTCAATGATCATAGGGGGGGGGGTCAAAATAAGCACATTTACCTACCCTAACCCCCCACCTCCACCCCAACTTATTTTTTAAGCTTATCCATCCTCAAGTTTCCATAAAATCTCTATGAAGAAAAATTAAGTTATTCTCAATATTGGCTACTACTGTTAACTCATTGTGCTAATAAAAAAATAGCAGTGATGGGAGCTTTCTTGATGTAGCCAGATACACTGTTTGACAACCCATTCAAAAAGGGTGCAAACATTGCCAAATTGATTTATCATAACTTTATAATTTGGGTTAAGTTAGTAATGATAGAGATATAACTGAATTATCATTTATACCAACAGACTTTAGTAGAATATTAAAGCATCTAATGCCATTTGTGTCATCCATTTCCTTAAGCCCAAGTTCAGTAGATCTTTGAATAAGAAAAGCATTTTCCTCTATAAATTAAATTTTAAATATTTTGTTCATTAAGATCACTGAAAATTGAATGATTTCTGGAAGAATTAAGTTTACTAGTTAAGTAATTATCTCAGACAAAGAAATATTGTAGGTGGTTGGTTGAATAATGCCTAAAATTATATATATATATATATATATATATATATATATATATATATATATATATATATATATTATATATATAAAAACTTTACACAATCATAGATAAGGGCCAAATTCTTAAGTCTTTAGATTTGTGACTTGTATAAATGATGCCACTGTTACAAGATTATGAGCCTATGTTCATGGCCTGATCCAACTTTAGAGTGGAAAACAAGATTAGGTTTAACTTTTTTTTTTGAAAAGTAAAATTTCTATACACAACTCATCTAATGAAAAATTACCCTTGCATAACATTTATGCATCATACTCTTACCTATGCAGTACTGAACATGCACTGAATTTGTAAACTGCCAAGGAAAGTGGTCAAAATACAATGACTATTTCATACAAAACAGAACACATACACAAAGAATGGCAAAATAAGAAAGTTTAATTACCTGAGTTGAAGATTGGGAATTTTCCAATGTGTTGTCTTTAACTGACATTTTAGAAAGAGATTCAGTTAATTTAGCGTCTGTGAGAGGAGAGGTTTGTAAAGTACTTGGATGAGTAGATCCATAAGTTTGTGTACTGTATACAACAGGTTGTGTCTGAGATGTGGCTGCCATTGCAGCCTGGTTATTCCGTTGATATGATGACTGACAGGCTACAGCAGTCGGATAGGAATTGGCAGGGGCTGATTGGGAGTCCCGAGGGTGGTATGCCGTCGTTGAATTACTATTACTGCCTTGAGCTTGGTAGGAACTTGTTTGTGCAGAGCTCTGATACAAAGAGTTCTGAGTAGGCGGATTTGATGTGTAACTAGACTGTGATTGGAATGAAGAACTACCTGGATAGCTCTGATGAGTATACTGTGAAGGAGTAGTTGGGTATTGGTTCTGGCTGACTTGGTATTGTGCTGGGTAGGCTGATGAACTAGACTGAGACATGCTGTTGGAATGGTGTGTAAACACTGGGGTGGAAGATGACAATGATGATGTTACATTTGCTGTCTTGTGGCTTTGGTAACTAGGAGTTGGGTATGTACTACCAGGAGGAGTAAAGGAACTTAGACTGTTGGAATCATTCTTCTGGTTAGGAACTGCACCTGCAGATGAACAATAAGCAAAATTAGTTTATAGAAGGATCAATATGTATTTTTTGGCTTTAAAACAGTTATTCTCAAAGGCAGAGAGAGAAAAAAGTCAGTAAATTGCTAATTAAAACATTTGCAAGACACTTCCAATCAAGTAATAGCAAAATTATTAACTTGTTTGCACTTCTTTTTCATTTGTAAGAAAAACGTGTTATCGGTCAAGATCAGCAAACATTAACATGAAAGGAAAGAATGGTAAAAACTCACTCTGACTAAGAGAACTTGGAGATTGACCAGTGCGTTGACTGGGCCCAATAAGTGGACTGGACTTCCGTTCACTTGGAGATGGAGGAAATGGGATGGGATCAGGTGTTGCAATCTAAAAAAATATGATACAAGTATTAGAAAAATCAAGTGTTTCAGAAATAATTTATCAGTTTTTTTTTTTTGGAAGTCATTACAAATTCTGAGAAGCAAATGCTACATAGAGATGGTTAGCATACAAGTCTTGGTAATTATTATTGGCTAGTTCAAACCTTTGGTATTCCATAGATGTGACCATGTGCCAAAGTTAGCCATGTTCAAAAGATGATTACAAAATCTTGAGTATTAATTTCCCCCCAAAATTGCTATTACTTGGAATCCAAATCACTCAACAGAATTAAGATGGGCAAGATATTTAGTAGTATAAAAATCTAAAAGAAAAAAGAAAAAAAGATATCTAGTGATGAGAAACGGTTTTCTTGTTCCTTACTTTTAAAAACAATGGCCAACAGTTATGTCAGTTATTTTTTAAAAGAAAATACAATTGGATTTACCTTGGTTGTTTGTCCTACTAGAGCATTAGCAGTAACATCCTTTTTAGATGGAGACTGATACGTATTTGTAAAGATGTTTGTGCGGCTTGAGGTTTGTTCCAGATGACTAATAGACTTTGTGGAGGGACTAGGTGACGACAAAATTGATGACGTCATAGGCGAATCTGCAGATTGCTGACTTGGCGAACTCATATGGTTAACCATACCACTTGTAGAACTATAAGGCAATAGAAAAAAAAAAAAAAAAAAAAAAACTAAGCACTTGAACTAGATTGGAAATAACATTTAAAAATATTATTTCCACAAATCGGAAATACAAACAAGTAGTTCATAACAAAATTTTTTCAAGTTTCCAATTACAAAAAAATTTGCCAAACAGTCAAATCGGATCAAAAGAAACTTTTTAAAGTTTATAGTAATGATTTAAAGATCAATTTATTGCAGAAATCTTAGCTTCAGCTAATGATACAATTAGTATGCAAATTATGAAAACCAATCCAAATGACTTATAAGGTGTAAGTTTTGGTTATGTTACAACTTACCTGTTTGTCACAGAAGTGGTAAAGCTGCTGGTTACTGATGTATCATTCACGCTGAAACTAAAGGGAGAACTGTCTGCTCCAAACTCGAGGTTTCCAAACTGAACATCCAGGTGAGGCATTAAGTGATGCGGCATCTCCACAGCACTTGCTGGAATCTAAAAAAAACATATACTGTCAACATAATGTACCCAAAATTTAAGTCAAATTTTTTGCTACAAGTTTATATGTATGCAAATTTAAGGCAGCAAGAATTGATTCACATTTTATTGAACAAGATCTGCCCATTTAATTTCTTTCCATGTTAAGATCAATTTTTCAAGTTCTTTGGCCCTCACGAGTCATTAACAGGAGCAGTAATAGTTAAATTTTTAAGCATTTTTAAAATGCTTTTCCCATGCTAAAAGATATTGCATGGAGTGGAGGGGAATCTCACTTTAGAGATAATTGTAAAGAGACTCAAAATATTTGAAGTTATTAAGCTTTAAATATTTTATGCCTTTTTTTAGTGGGACATATTGCATTGAAAATGTAATTTTCCAAAATTGCTAGTAGATCTAACTACAGAAAACGAACCACCATCACGCTAACCAGAGTAGAAAAGCAAGCTTACATCAAAATTGGATTCATTCTCTCCATGGAGGACAGGGAGATAAACCTTTAGAAAAATGATTCTATGCTGATGAACTCTTGATTCTCTTAACTTGATGACTCAGTACATGAAGTCAATTTTATTATCTATATAAGAAACCCACACATGTAAATTGTACCTTACTTAATTATCAAAGGGAATGTCCTCAGATATAAAATAAAATAGCTGTTATAAATACCATAATCAACCATGCTAAAATAATTACATACAACATTTGATAAAGAATTGAGTAGCATAAAAACAATATTTCCCAAACCGTGTTATGAATAAGCAAATAAAATTAGCTTTAAAGAATTTTAGGCAAAAATCTAAACAAAAATGAACACTAATTTATTCTATTGTAATTTCACTGTAGACAAGATAAAAAAAAATCTCTTAAAAATATAATTCTTTGGTATATGTCACTTAATGTCAAATTACTTTAAGCTATTATATAAATGAAACAGTCCACATTAGAAATGGCCCTAATGTGGATCATTTTGTCAGAAAAGAATTTTATAAAACTGTTTCAAAATTTAATATCTAACTGTTTTCAACTTTAATGAATCCAAACTGGCTAATGTTTTTCAAAATTAAATTAGGACTGCAGCATTTCTAAATACTAAGATGAAGTTAATAATTTTCCTTTGTTGTAACTGATTTGTGATAATAGATAGAGATAGTCAAAGGCATTCTACTAAAAACATTATGAGCTTAGGTCAGATTCACCATAGACATGTGGCAGCATAAATATAAGCTGGAAAAATGTGCAAAGAAACAACAGGGGAACCTTTTTGGTCAAATTCAATAAAACGTGTGTGTGTTGAATTTTTAATTAACCTGCAACAGAAGGCCAATATTTTGACACTCAATATAGTGAAAGTTCTGAATAATTTGCAAAAAGTAGCTGTATTTTCAATTATTTCTTCATAACATTTTTCTAACAGTTATTTTGAATTCTCAAAATGTCATTAAATGACATCAAATTTGTTTTTGTATCAGAATAACTCAAGCAGATAATTTACACTATGCCTGAAACAGAGAAATGATTAGCATTAAAATAAATGCTAGTAAGAATTAACAAGAGTTCAAGTAATATCTTAATACAAGTTTTTATGAATTTAGGAGAAGGTAAAGTCAAATATATTTCACAAGAAATATTTCCAAGTGACATTTAGCTTAGTTCCATAAGAAAACATATCAATAAGTCAAGATGGAAGAAGTTTATATGAAGACTTACCTTTGAAGGTGGGGGTAGTTTTGTTCTTTGTGGCCTTGCTCTCTGCTGCTGTTGCTGCTGTATTGAGTGCTGGCTCGACTGTGTGACTGTGGTGCTGACTGATACTGCCTGAGTGGTCACTGGATGACCAGCAGCAGCAGCTGCAGCAGCAGCCGACAATGTGGATGGCAAATGGCTTCCAGACGACTGCTGCTGGGACAGACTAGTTAGAGAGGCCATAGCATTCACTGACTGGCTACCAAGAGATGACGGCAGCCCAGACGACTGGTTGCTTGAAGTTCCAATCTGATAAAAAGGAAATTGATATACATCTTAATATCTTAGATTAAAGCACTGTATATGTTGGCATAAAAGGTGACTGGGTGAATAAGACAACCCTCAAATTTTCAAGTTGAAATGTAGGTTTCAGGCTATATTTGTCATATAGTACTCCCCCCACCCCCCAATTGTATTTTAAAATGCATTGTACTGAATTTATTAAATAAATTCAGTGAGCAGTTTCTTTTAATTGAAATTCTAATTAAAAATGGTGGGGAGATATTGTCAGTTAACTAACACAATCAACAATACCTCATGAGTAGGTGCAGTTGTTTTTGATAGGCTATTACAGTAACCTGAATGACTACCCACTCCCAACCCAACCATCAACTTGTTCCACTGTTCTCAAATGTGATCTTTAAACAGCTTGGTGAGATGAACATCAAATAGTTGTACCAATGCTTTCAATCCTCCAGGAATAACTGCCACATCTATGTTTAATTTTGCTAACAGTTTCTTTGTGTTGGTAGTTAAAGGAAACTTGAACATATCCCCACACCAACAGGCTATGTTGCTTAATATGTCCACATAGTTACCTACTCTATATATGATCAAGTCATAGCTTAATCCCTTCTTCATCCATCCAGCCTTTTTTTTTTTTTGTTGACACGTATAAAAACTCCCAACAGGGAAATTGATTTTCAACAAGAGTTTTAGTTTGGTGCCATTTGCCCTATATTGTCCCGTTTTAATTGACAACATTTTTGCAACATTTGAGTAGTTTTATTTCCAAACATATTGAAATGCATAGGGGTTTCATCCATATTCTCTGTTACTTATGCATTATAAATTGTTGGAAGTTAATTATTTTGCTGTAGAGATCTGTAGCAATATTTGTGCAATTTTGGTCTTTTGCCTCAGTACCAGATTATCCAATTTCATAAACCTAGTACACCAAGATGCAATGGCCTTAAATCCTTTGTTGAAAACTGGGTTAGATTTAGACCACTTAAGTGCAAAAATATGTATATTATTTCACGTAATTATATAACCAATTTGATGATGTTCATGCACCATGTCTGCTACAGGATTCATATTTCCTTCTTTTGCTGGTAGTTGGTGGGGCCAAGATGGAGTCTTGTGATAGCTGGATTCTAATAATGTTCCCTAGATAATGCTAGTTAAGAAAGCGACATCCCTCACCTCCCCACATGCCACCAAGAACTGACTAGTATGCTAAACTATAATTACCAGTCTATTTCTTGAATTATTACTATAAACATTTTTTTCTTGAACATGCTGTCTGCCAAAGCACTTTGAACACACCCAAGGCTAGCAGTTGCTTTGTTTACAGTGTGTGACAACAGTTTTGGATTTTTCTTGATGAATATGCATTTTATTATTGTCATACCATCATAGCACATTATATAAAAAGGTAAAAAAATTTTATTACACTACACATTCATCATAATTATATGAATTAATTGGTTTCATTAGAAAATTAGAAAATATTTGTATTGATAGGCTAACCTCTGCTTTGGTAACTACCATCAGAAATTTATGCTAACAACTTAAACCACAGGATTTAAGGTTCACATTTTATACCTGGAGTAAAAGACAGCCTCCTAGTTTTGTGCGTATGTATGTGGTTAAGTTTAAAAGGTTGTCTCATATGCCAACATATACGGCACTTAAAAAAAAAAAAAAAAAAAAAAAAAAATCATTTTTCTTACCAAGTATCATTTTAAATCATTAATTCCAATTTGATTCAGACAAAATTAAAATAATTACAAGTATATTATTAAATTAACAAATGTATTTATTAGCATGCTTAAATGATTTTCTAAAACAGACTAACCGTTAGTCAATACTAAAATTTTCTAGTTCTGAGGTAGAACATATATATATATTATATATGCCAGAATTATTTTAGAAAATGTCCATCTGCAAACATTCTAAATTAAAATAGAATATATTCAACACTTAATTTAATAAATATATAACAGTATAAGAACAAGTTTCCCTACAATATACCTCTAGAGCCTCCTCCCCAACATGAAATTAATAAATCTTGTTTCACTTACCCCTATCGTATTTTTTAGGGACTCTGTTGCTTGCTGGTTATACTGGGCAATATACTGAGCTTCTGTCACAGGGTCTTGTGCTTTTTGAAGAAGTGCACCAAGGTCCAGCCTAAGAATAGAAAAAAAAAAAAAAAAAAAAAAAAAAAAATCAGCAATACTACCAGCAAATTTCAACAGCCATGTAACAAAAAACAGACTCTGAACATAAACACACTGCCTATATCTATTAAAGCTCTCAGGTATTGAGCATGCTTCCCATATAAATATAGCAAATTTTTATATATTATGTTTAAATTTTTTATAATTATTAGGCAGAGTGCTCAATATTGGAAACCAAGTATTTATAAATAGTACCATCATTGCATGATGGCTATCAGTTTCATGCCTCAATGTAGTTTTCAGATCATTCCTTTGAGCTGTGAAGCTGACAAGCATCATGCAGTTTTATTTTGCCTATTGCTTTTTCTTTATATTAAATTTTTTAAAACTACACACATATATATATATATATAATCCAAAATTTGGTTTTTATATATATATATATATATATATACAGTAGCGTCCAAAAATAGGGGACAAAATTTTAAAACCTAATATTTGTTAGAAATAACAACTGTGAAAAGCTGAAATTTTGACAACTGGTAGTTGTTATCCATAATAACATACTAAAATTTGAATCATTTGCAAAGGATAGAAAAAGAATTATAACAATTATTTATTTATTTTCAAATTTGGAACGTCCAAAAGTAAGGGACAAAATTGAGAAAAACAATGTAAACGGCAAAAAAACAATAAAAATACATGTACAATCAATATTTAGTAAATGAGCCCTTGCTCTCAATGACAGCTGCACATCTTCGACTACAAGAACAAATCAGTTCTTGACAATCCTCGATACTAATTTTAGACCATTCTTCTTGAAGCTTCACCCACAAATCCTGTGTTAGTGGGATTTCTTTCCATAACTTTCACTCCTAAGGTCTTCCAAAGATTTTCTATTGGATTTAAGTCAGGACTTGGCGGTGGCCAATCCATAATTTCCAAATCTTGGTCGCTAAGGTAACTCATTACCACCTTTGCCTTGTGACATGGGGCATTATCTTGCATAAAGGTAGCCCTATCGAAACCTGAATTCTGTATGATTGGCACAACATGATCTTGAACAATGTTTTTTATAGATCTCTGCGTTTACACGAGTTTGTAACCGGACAAGTGGCGTTGTACCTTGGCTAGAAAACATTCCAAATACCATGACGCTTCCCCCCCAAACTTGACAGTTTTCTTAATACACTTTGCACTTAATCTTTCACCAATACGTCTCTTTACATTGTTTTTTTCCATCATTTCCAAATAAATTAAACTTGCTTTCATCACTGAAAAATACTTTTGCCCAATTTTCATATGTCCAAATTACATACCTGTTTGCAAACTCTAATCTCTTCTTCGAACAAACAAGTGGTTTCTTCCCTGGGGTTCGATTAGACAGCCCTATTTTTTGCAGTCGTCTACAGTCTGTCTTGACACATTAACACATGAGGTACTATTCATAACCCTTTTAATTTCTGTGCAAGACTTAAAATGGTCCTTTAATGACATACGCTGCATTATTTGATCTTCTCTTGCCGAGGTTTTGCAGGGTCTGCCGGTTTTAAAAGCACTATTTTGCCAGTATCATTGTAGGATTTAACAACCCTGCCTACAACACTCTTGGAACGTTTCACTTTCTCTGAAATCTCTAATGGTGTGCTTTTCCTTGTGTAGCTTCACAATAGCTTGTCTCACAGAGTAATCAAGTTTTTGGCGTTTCGCCATGGTGCCAGCTGATGCAACGTTTACAAATGACTAAGTAAGACTTATTCTTTAGAGGAAATCAAAAAATTTGAATATAGCATACTGTTTACATTGTTTTTCTCAATTTTGTCCCTTACTTTTGGACGATCCTATTTTGAAAATAAATAAATAATTGTTATAATTCTTTTTCTATCCTTTGCAAATGATTCAAATTTTAGTATGTTATTATGGATGATAACGACTACCAGTTGTCAAAATTTCAGCTTTTCACAGTTGTTATTTCTAACAAATATTAGGTTTTAAAATTTTGTCCCTTAGTTTTGGACGCTACTGTATATAATGCATAGGTAATCTATCAACAGAAATCACACTGGAGAAGGGTTTATATTTAACAGGTGTATTTTTTTTTTTTATTTAAATTTATTTATCAGTGCCAACAAATTGTAAACACAGAATGATAGCAGAAAAGAATTTTTTTTTTTTTTTTTTTTTTACTTAAAAAAGACAGTTACTGTTGTTCCTCAGTAATACTCAGAAACCACCATAAGAAACATATGCACAATTTTTCATGTAATACCTTGTGATATTACAACTGCTCTGGAAATTAGCAACTATACAGAAAACACAGCACCAATCTATTTATTCTATCTTGCTGAGGATCATTAACATTTTAAAATAATTGTTGAGACACTATTTTCAGGAGGAGAGCACTAATGTTAACTTGCAAGAAACTTATTTGCAGTCATGTATATATTTCTTGCAAAATTTGCTGTCCATAAACTTACTCAACCTTTTACCCATAAAATTAAACTTTTCATTTTAGTATTAAAACAAAAAAAAAAAAAAACCCAACATAACAGAAGAATAATTTCTCATGTATGTACAAAGGACATGGGTCATTTAATGGCCTACATATTCTAGCTTTTCATATTAATTTCATTTTACTGTAGGAGAATAACATTAATATATATATATATATATATATATATATATATATATATATATATATATATATATATATAAAAATGGTAAAAGAAATGTAAACAGCTTTTTAAATACATTTTATTCAATCTAAATACCAGAATTTTCTCCAGTCATTTTTTCTTACTGATGGTACAAAGATTATGGCAATTAACACTTATTGGTGTCATTTTCCATATAATTTTATAGTATTGGAGTGTTATGAAGAGATAGAAAAGTTCTCAGTTGACCAAGAGAAAAATCGGATATTTCATGCGACAATTCACATTTTAAAAAAGATTTGAGCCTCTAAGAACAAGTAGTGCTTGGTATGATCAGCATCTATCTACAACTAAACAACTTTGTTCTAAACAGTAAGCAAATTTGATCAATCTAATTAGAGTAACAAGGCAAAAAAAAAAAACATGAAAATACTGTAGATAAAACTTGTTAAATGAGAAGTACAAACAACTTCTGCTTTTAGAAACAGCATTATTTTTAAAGCAATCAGGATAAGGAAAGAAAGAAAAGGAAAAAAGAAAGAAAAGGAAAAAAGAAAAAAGAAAAAAAGAAAAAGAAAGAAAAAAATCGGGTATGAACAGGTAAAGTCTTGATAGAATTTGGAGTAAATGCATTAGTAGTGTTTATTATATCAGGTGCAAATAAAAGAAAAATAAATAAAAAGAGCAGTCTTGTATGAAAAACCAAAATATTTTATAAAAGAAATGTTGGCTTTAGATTAAAAATAAGATGTAAAATTGATCTTCCAGATCATGTCAAATGGCATTTGTTGACAATTCCCACATTCAACATGTGAAGAGCTCATGATGGACATCTCATAAAGAAGCTCCATGCTGCGTTATAGTTAAAAAAAAAAATCTTAAGCAGTTTTAGGTGAGTGTAGTATTTTATTAAAGAAATATAAGACTTGTCTTAATCAAAAAGATTGGTTAAAGCAGAATCAAATGGATTGAAACAAATAGGCAAACTAATGAAGAAAATATGATTTCTATGGTCATGGCTCTGTGGCTTGCTGAAATAACATAATAGAATTTATTTTAATTTTTTTTTTTATTTTTAGGAGAGATCTCATGTTAATGAAAGGAAAAAATTTGGAGGTCTTTTTCTAAAAAAACGTATAAGATAGACCAAGACTAATAAGGAGTTAAAAATGTGGCAACATAGCATAAAATATATTGTTTATCAAACTGTTTATTTTGAAATCTTAAACAAAAGTTGGTTGGATAAATTTGGCTATATGTGTAATTTTTAGTTTAAAATGAGTTTTCTTCCTTCCTACCTTACAACATCTCAGTGAACAGCTGAAAGAGAGAGAAAACACACAAGATACCATAATGATGATTTGCTAATTGTATAAACTAAGAACAAATTGCTAATTCACAACATTGAAGTCCCAAAGAAAATAATATTAGTTTTTTCAGACTGCATTTAACAAATCCATTTATTAAGACTAATAGAGAAAAGTAATCTGAAACCAAAAGCTTATTTTAAGAATATTATTTAAAAAAAAAAAAAAAAAAAAAAAAAAGGAAAAGAAGTGGGGTCCAAATTTCCTAAAGAATATATCAAGAAAAATCTAACTTGGACCTATTAGCTGAATAGATAAGATCTCTTAAATAATTTGTTTAGGGCAGACATTAAGTCTTTGCTTTTGTGCTATGAATTTAGATTTCTAAATGAGAAATTTGTGTACTAAAAGAAAATGCAATAAAGTCTTTGAAGAAACTGCCCCAAAAATTAACTTAAAAAAATACTACACAAAGTAGATACAATTATATTGGTATTTGGGAAGTCAAAAGGCAACGAACGGAGAGAAAAGATAAATGGAAAAGAAAGATGGTATGATGATACAGATCCAAGATGGAGCCAGCTTAGGAATGAACTTACAGGTTTTGATGCCTCTCAACTTCCTCACTCCCATTGATTTTTTTGAATATATTTCTATAAAAATAAAATAAAATAAAATTGAAAAAATGGTATGATACTCATATTAAAAGCAATGCACAGAAAAGTTAATTGTAGGAGTAACCAAGATAGAATTAGTGAGGATAGCAATTATTATAGATTTTTTTTTTTCCGAATACAACCATTTGGAAAATGAAAAAGAAAGGAGGAAAGAACATATGAAATTGGTCTGCTTAAATAAAATAAAAATGGTCTCTTAAAAAAAACACTGAAAATTATTTTCTAAATACTAAGTGACGAGACAGAAGTAACAACACAAAAAATAAAAATCACAACACTAAAAGATAAATAAAAAGGAATTCTAAACAGAATAAAGCAGCAGCTAAAATAATACAACATTCAATTAAAACTACCAACTTAAAAGGACCATGCTTTTTTTTGCACATCAACTTGAATGGAAAAAGCATTTTTCCTTGTCATGCTGAGATTATCTAAATGTAGACTATTACCAAGTAATAGCTTTTTTTCATAGTTATTTTCATTGACAAATTCTATTGTCAGGTGAGAGTTAAAAGGATTCCAAACTTAAATTTTAAGACACTAATTAGCTAATGCAAAAGTGATATTATACATTAAAACCATTTATCACATGCTTTGAAATAGGTGCAAAGCCATTAACAAATTGGAATGGCTTTGCCAAATGAAATTAAAAATGTTCCAAACAATGGCTCATAAATAAGTTACCACAAATTTCTATATAAACTATACTTTTTCAATAACCATTTACATTATAATTTACAAATAAATACTGATAGTTTAGATATTTTTCAGAATAACTAATTTGTCAATTTAAAATAGAAATCTAATTTCACACAGAGATAGCAAGAAAAATCCCCAAAAGAAAAAAGCCTCTAAGCATAGGAAAGAAATGAAACAATATCAGGCTGCAGTTAATGACCAAACTGATAACTTATTTTCAGTTATATACAAATAAAACCTGGCAAGACTAACCAAATTATTATGGAGGTTTCATTTCATGAGCTGCTTTTAAACTTTCTGTAGATATTTAAAACCATTTTCTTTTAGAACATTAAAATATAAAAAAAGAATTGAAGAAATAAAATTTCAATGATTTTATTAGCATAGAATAAAAGAAGCACAATATACTTAGTGACTATTAAAATATTAACTATTAAATTTTTATCTAGAAAGACTACCGTGGATTCATTTTTAACTAACGAAATGAAAAGGTGCTCTCCCATATATATATATATATATATATATATATATATATATATATATATATATGTGCACGCATGTGTGTAAAATGCAGATGTTGGAGCAACAGAAAAAACAAGGGTGTAAATAAGTAAATAGAAAGAAATTTTAAAATTTTTAGTTAACTACTATATAAAGTAGGCAAAGAACATGCAACAACAGAAACAAGATTCTTACAGGGAAAAATACAAACAAGTGAGATTTCAATTTAGTCAATGATCATATATCACATTGATCATTCTGGGGAATTTAAGAATATCTATTAAATCTAATGAGAAAAAGTATTTTGCACAGCAAGTTTATATTAGACATTTGTGATTCTTTAAACCTCAAAAATTAAATCATATTCAATTTTACTAAACAATGAAAATGATACTGTACAGTTTTTTTTGTTTCTTTAAATTTTGTTTGAAATTTCCAAGTGAATTAGAGGGAAGTTGTATTTTCCTAATGAATTTGATAAACTTACTAAAAATACCAGTTGTTGTTGCCAAGGTTAGTTTATTATCTATACATAAACTAAACTTTTGCAATCAAAACAATAGGTTATAAAGAAAAAAGTTCAAACCAATTAATCAGTGGTGATTAAATTATTGATTAAAATAGGGTTAATTTTAAGCTATTTTTTTAAACTCCCTTGTCATCAGTGAGCAATCAATTTCAACAAAATATCTACAAGTAAAATTCCTGAATTTCACAAGAGGTAATCAATGTAGTACAAAAACTTAAACATCAGGGGCATCCTCTTAATATGAATTAACCATTAATTTAGCATGGCAATGTTTAAACCAAATTTTGCTAGATTATAAAAATGCCCACAGGATTAAATTTAGTAATTAAAAAATGATAAGTATCTATAAAGAAAATATATTTTTCTTTATGTAAGTCAAAATATTACACCCAGTTTATAATTTTTTCCAAAATCAACCATGCTATTTATTCTTTCCAAGAAAAGCATAACAGATTTCTTCAAAGAAAACCGAGTTTATAGTTTTAATAGAGACAAAAATAATGTCCGATACACAGAGTATGACAAATATTGTAATTCGGTAAAATTAAATTTCCAAATATAAAAATATGCCAAAAGTTGATTTTCCAAGGAAAACAATGCTAATAAAATTATTGTTTTTAAAATGGCAAAATAAATACAATTGCAGAAATGTACGAAAAAAAAAAATTTCACAAAGTTCAAAATATAAAAAAAGTTAACAGTTGAAAGATTTAACAGAAAAAGCAACATTATCAAAAACAAATTTCATGAAGAAACATTAAGGCTCAAACGGAATTCCATATATATTTTTTTTCCTTGATTTTTGCTTGCATTACCCTTAATTTATATTTTGTTTTGAGAAAATACCCCAAAATTAAGACAACTTTATATCTAAAAATTGCAATTTTTAAAACCAATTATTTTTATAAGCCTGTGTCCCCAAGTTGAATTTGTTATCACATGCAAAGACAGATACTGAAAATTTTCAATGCTCGATTTCAAAATTCTGATGTTTTGTCATTGAGAGAGAGAGAGTCCAATTTCAGTGAAATTGAAAAAAAAAAAAAAAAAAAAAAAAAAATCACTTATTCTGTTCATTATATTTAATGTGTTATGTAATTAAATTTCTAATTTTGTTTATAACTTTTTTTTTCCCCCCTTCAGAACCCTATTAATAATGAATAGACAAGAATGCATCTTTGTTGCTATTTCTTTGCATGTGGTTTCATAAAAACAAAAAGGTTTTTCATCAAAAGATCAATAATTTAACTAAGCTTAAAGAACGCATTCAGTTTACAGTGCAGGGGATTTCAATTTATCAATCATTAACCCCCCCCTCTTTCTGTTGCATTATCACAGTTCTACAAATCATAATAAATCTGACAATATTTAAACTTATCTTTGGAGACTTCCTAATTTAGTTCTATTTTCTTCTCTGAATACCATACATTACCCTCTTGTTCATATTTTATGCTAGCACTATGAGCTACTTTTCTTATGCAAAGTAACATTTGCATAGAATGAACTTTAAATGTGATAAAATTCAACGACGACAAATTGTCACTGAAGTGACAGAGTGGAAGATTCTGACCCACCCCATAAATATCACTACCCATAAACCAACACATAACCACAGAAGCATCTATGAGCTCAAAAGATATGTATATCAACAAAATGCGTTCAAAAGTTTGTCTACTCTTTAAAATAAAGTAAAAAAGACTACAGCAAAAGATATGTTCAGACAACAAATAATACAGATGTTAAATGTTGGTAAAAATTATTTACAAAATGTTACAATATATAAATGTAGGTACCTCCACTATTTTGTTGATAAACAGCATAGCATGCTGAAAAAAAGGTCCCAAACTTAAAAGACAAAGTTTTATCATCAAAATGCTTGATATTAAGAAAAAAAGATCAAAGTATTTTTTTTTTAATTACTTTATTAAATTTTTAAATCCTTCCTAGCATGTTTGAAATTTAGGTTAATATTTGGTTAAAAAAAAAAAAAAAAAAAGTCAGATTTTAATGAAACTTTCGGGACTTGTTCACAAGTGAATGTAATTATTTTTGAAATTTTTTTTTTTAACATGTGTTACCCAATGCACTTAATTTCATGAAATTTTGAAAAATTAAATTTTCGGCGGAAAATTTGTTTTATTAGTTAAAAGCAGGATCCCCCACCCCGCAAACAATTACTACTATTACTACCCATTTCCCAAAAATCTACTTTGAATTGTGAAATAAAAAAAATGAAATAAAACTATGACATTAATTAGAAAAGCTTTTAATTGCTTTTATAAATAAGATTTATTAAGGACATTATTGCCTTAAAAAATTTTTTTTTTTTTCAATGAATGAATTATTACAAGAATTGCCTACATTTTTTTTTTTAATTATATTTTATATATACATCTTTTAAAATTCTGCATTACTTTAATTGTGTTAGGTGATACTATTAAGTGAAATCTATATTTACTAATCAAAAATTGAGAAGCTTAATACAAATCACACATCAAGATTTTTAAAATAATGTTTTTATGTGTATAAACATGGCCATTTTGAAAGTATGAATGACCATACACAACATTAGAAAATAAGAGTGATGACTATAGTAAATTTAAAGTCAACATTCCTAAAATTAGATTACGGGGAATATTATCCAACATTTTTAAGATTATGGAGTAATTAAAAATTATATAAAAGTGGCACTCACATCATTTTCTTGAATTATGTTTTAACAGATAAAGTATCTGTAGAATAACAATAAGTTTTTATCTCCTTTCAACACTTGTCAATCATATAAACATGCCTACTGTTGGTTAAAAAAACAGCTAATTTTTTAATACAGAGAATTACATTATGATGAAAGACAACTAAAAAAAGGGTGCTAATCAGTAATTAAAAAAAAAAAAAAAAAAAAAAAACCAACAACTATAATATTCTGTTTGAAATATACCATGTATGTATTTTGCTTACTGGAAATAGTAAATTTAATCCTTTAGCTTTCAAGTAAAACTAAAATGAAAGCCTTTTCATTTTTAAAAATTCATTTTAAACCATAGGTGTTATGAATTAGTGGAGGTCCCCAAATAAATGATTAACAAAAAATTCTAATTCTGTACTGATCTTCATAAAAGTCGAATAGAAGGTTGCAATGCAAATAGCAAAACATTTAAGACAAATTTTAAAAATATTTGAAATCAAATGTTACAAAATTTTGAAATACAATGTTTAAATGTATTCCTTAACCAATAATATAAATTTTTTTTGCAAAAGTTTACAAAACTCTTGAGCATACTATCGAATTTTCCTGAACTACAAATAATTTTAGTTAATAAAATTATTAAATATTCAAAGTGAAATTAGGCTGAATGATATCTTTTCTGTTAATACATGCACAAATACATTTGTAAATAAAAAGGAAATTTTAAATATAAACAAAATGTGCAGTTTATAAAGTAATAGTTATGTTAAAAGAGGGATGATCTCTAGCAATAAGTGCACAACCTTATTCAAACAAATAAAAGTATTATACAGCTGGGTATATCATACTAAAATTTGACATGACAAAATCTAAATTATAGATATAGAGCAAGCTTAATGCAATCTCCTTTTCAGAACTGTAGAGCGATGACATTTTTTTTTTTAATCAATTCACCCCAAGCAAGATGCAAAGTGTTACTGGGAATGAAAGAATGTGAAGATTTTAGAAGTAACTGAAAAACCAAATCCTAAACAAGAAACAAGGGATAAATCTCAACACCTGCCCAAGACTGGGGAGGAGTGTGAACCAGACAATAGGTGATTTTAAATATTCTTTTCTCTCCTATATTTCTTCCAATGTAAGTGAAAAACATTTATCAAATTAATGTAACCAAAAATAACAATGCTTGTGTAAATAGAAATAGAAAAGAGCCCATCAGTACAAAAATCCTGTAGGAACTACATTAAAAGATGCATTTAAATGTTAACACAATGGATAATGTTTTATAATTATAAGGATTTTACTAAGAGGAACTACTATCTCCCAAAATAAACACATTGGATTTTAGTATAGTTGACCATTACAAAAAAACAACAACATTGATAGTACAAGAAACAAAATCATGTTAACATACTGGTGAAGAGCTTCATATGCAGAGGATACTTACCGTGGCAGGGCAGTGTTAGTTGCATCATTCATGGGTGGTGAAGCAGACGGGGCAGCTGCACATGGTTCAGAAGTGGGAGCACTTTGCACAGATGATGCTGTGAAAACCTTGGATTCAGCCAGCTGAAGAATATACAATAGTAGGTAAACAATTTATAACAAGTAGATAAATACTCATCTTGGAAAGCTTCAACATGCTCCATAATTTGTGGAAGAGGCTGAAAGGGGGAGAGGGGAAATCCTGAAAGAAAAAATAATCACACTATTATGTAATGCTTTTCTCATCACTTAATACCAACATTTCCAATACAAACAATCTTGATTCTTGCATGTTTTTATATTAATTGAACAGCAAGAGATAAATATTTTTCATTGCTAACCACAGCAACCTCAATCTAGCATTCAAAAAGCTTTGTTATACAGACTTGTTGCTTTTACAAGAAGTTATTTTGCTATTCATGTATCATTTGGCAGTTGACTGAATATTCTTGAAGATATTTTACTGGTTATTTTATATGGTTATTTTGCACTCCAGTTATCTCAATCACAATTTCACCTCTTAACCCTTTGACCCCTGACCACCATTTTGCTGGTGGTAGAGAAAATGATATAATGCCCAGTCACCGGTTGAATGGTGGGTAAACACTTGTATATTTTTATATCTACCATGAAACATTATATATCAATTATTTGTGACTTTTGACTCAGGAGCCCAGGCAGAAGGGTTAACACTTTCTTTTCCTGAATCCAGGATTAAACATCTTTCTACATAACTTTCTAATTTTTACAATTTTATAATCAAATATTCTAGTTTGCCAAACTGCAATAAGCAACAGATTTATGAATACATCACAATAAAATATAATTAAAAGTCCCCACTACCACCTTTACAGGAATATCTAAAAATAAATCTACCAAATATGCAGAACAGTTATGCATACAGATTTCTGCAAATTTCAATTTTTGCTTCAAGATACAAATTACTACATGCAAAATGAAATGCATAGTTTATATTAAAAGAAAATTCTACTTGGATCATTAGTCACCAATTCTTCCTTGGATGAGTGTCATGAATTAAACATAAGTAGGTTTTAAAGTTAATTTCACTGAAATTACCAGAATTATGCCCCCTTCTCTTTTCATTAAGGATAAAGCAAAAGCTCAAAAATATACATTTTAGCCCATTAACTGCATATGATGTAAATTTCAGTCATTATTCATTGTAATTCTTTAGCTCAACTGTGACTGATGAAAATTCAGCCTCCTCGCAAAAAAAAAAAAAAAAAAAAAAAAATCCTTTCTCCATTCAGTTCCCAATCAAGCATCAACTGATAAAGAATTTACATGGTCAAAATTGACGTTTTATTGGATAATGAACCAATACAGTAAGTACTTCACAAGCATAGTGGTTGCTAATTAGAAAGTGAAGAAATTTGATTAATTTCATTGGTATCAAAATATTGATCAAATCCTGACAATTTAGTACAATGTTGAATTACACATTGTACCAGGCTTTGAAAGGCACCACAGAAAGATTTTTCTAATATATATATACATATATATATATATTATATATATATATGTGTGCATGTGTGTATGGTGTTTTCATATATAGCAACCTCCAATACCATATTTAGTAAGGTTTTTTTTTTTCTCATTCATACTATTTAAAAAACATTCATATATTTTTTTTTTTTTTTTTACTGAATGTCCAGAATATAAACATTATCACAACATTTACAAAATGCCAACAGAATTGTTTCTGCATCAGGGTCAGCTCATTACAGAAAATGAGAATTTTATTCCAAGGATTTTTATTGTTATTTTACATATAACATGAAAATGCATAAGCTTAAAAAAAAAAAAAAAAAAAAAAAAAAAAAAAACAGTTAATAGTCCAATACAGACAAAATTTTTGTCAAATGAATGCATGTAGTTAATATTCAGATACAATTTAGGTGCAATTTAATTGAGAAAGATGATTATAGAAAAGAAATTGAAGTATCTTTAACAATGATGCCAATAATTTGGATACTGATACAGTAATGAAACAAACCAACAAGCAAATTTACTGGAAGCAAAAAATATTTCAGGAAAAAATTGAGGGAGGGGGAGAGTAAAGTTTTTTTTTGTTTTTTTTTTTAAAAAATAAAAATAAAATAAAATTTTTTTTGTTTCAACCAGACATACAAATAAATATCATCTTGAAAGCCTAATACGTATATTTCTTTGTAGAATATAATGAAATTGGATACATAATAGACATACAGAAACTGTGTTTTAATGGCACTATAAATTTATATACAAATAGGTATAATTTCTAACGAAAAGGACAATTTCAAGATATAAATTTAAAAAAATATCCTTGGAGAAAAAAAAAAAAAAAAAAAAAAAAAAAGAAGAAAAAAAAAAAAAGACTGCACTGGAATAGAAGTCAATAAAACTATAGAAAACATTCTGAAATAAATCATTTATGAGCAAGAAATAGACAATATTGCCTCGGAATATTGAGAGTTGGTAATACAAGGTGGTCACACTGTAAAAGTATCCAAGACATTTCATTAAAGCTAGAAATAGAAGCTAAACTTTGAGCTTAATTTACTTAAAATGGAAAAAACTTTAACCCCATTATGCTTGTCATTTGTTTAAAATCCTGTGATATACAACAGAATTTTCAAAAGAATCCTATTAATTCTATAACTTTTAAAACAATTGTATTTCAATAAGATCACATGAAATGCATAAATTCATAGCTATAAGGAAATAGGAATAGGTATCATTTAGAGTGGCATGTAGACAGATGAATAATTAGCAATAAGTTATGCATTTTCAATAAATAAAATTGAGCATTTATTACAGAATTAACATTTTTTGATATGAATATTCCCTTGACAATATACCTTGTATCAGTCAAATAAAATGCTTATCAATAAGCAGAGAATTATGAACAAGCAAATATACATATTTTTCAAATGATATTTTTAAATGAAAAGTAAACATTTTCAATAGTTGTTGACCAGAACTGAAACAAGTCATTAATTGTCAAAGGAAAAATTATTGTAATAGAAAATTAGCAGGGGGTTAAAAATAGAAAGCAAAGTTATTAACATTTCACCAAAGAAAAAAAAATGCATACAACACTTTAAAGTCATATCTGCATGAAATGGAGGTTAAAGAAAAAAAAAAAAAAAGCACCTTCAAATTAGACATTGGCATGAAGCAATGAATACTAAAACAAAAAACATTTTAACAGGTAAATCTTTAGAAATTCATTTTACATGTTTTAATAAAGAAGTTGCAATGTTTTGAGAGTAAAAAGAGGCAAATCTAGAAAAGTAAAATAGAAGCAGAAGTTAATGAGAGGTGCAACTAAGCTAATAAAAGCTTATTGATGCCAATTGGCAAATTCTAAGATAATGCAGAAAAAAAAAAAAAAAAAAAAAAAACAATGCATTACTATTTAAATAATCATATTTTAACAAATTTTAGCCATTCTCATTTAGAATATTCCTATAGATATAAAGGATAAGAGTAATCCAAAAGAGCAAGTAATTAAAATTTGTTTAACAAAGTTATTAATTTCAAATATTCCTTCACATTTTATATGATATGCATGTGACTTGTTTTTTTTTGTGTTGAGGGGTTAAAAAAAAAAAAAAAAAAAAAAAAAATCAACGAGAACAAAATGTTTTGTTTATAACTTTAAAATTATTAATCTATGACAATGTCACTTGTGAGAAAAGAAAAAAAAAAATAAACAAAAAAAAAAAAACGACAACAACAACAAAGAGCTTGAAATTATTTTACATGATCAATGAGGAAATGAACCAAAATTTAGCATAGGACATTTCTATGAAATATATTATTTGTAGCCAAGATTGCAAATAGCCAAATCCAGTCAACCTGGAGAGTTCTATTCACATTCACTACCTCCAATTTGAAAGGAAAACATGATCAAATTTTCTGATTTTGAAATAAAGTTGGATGTTATAATAATGCAAAAAAAAAAAAAAAAAAAAAAAATCACTTAATATATTGCAAGAAAGCATATTTCAATGCACAAACATTAAATTGAATGCAAAAAGCATCACATTATAAATACCAGGGAATGTGGTTTTTAGCAATCTAACAACCATGATAATCTGTGTATACAGCTATGGAAGTTACAGGTTAAATATATAGCCTTTGCAAGTGTCCAGTGATAAAAATCAAAACATGATTAAACTAATGTAAACAAAACTACTTTCTATTTTTTTTTTTTTCAAGACAAACAGTGATGTAGTATACATGTAATCACAGTAAACAGACCAGAAATCACTTAAAACCATCAACATTGTTAAGATCTTTAAATTGATGTACTGCACCACAATTGAAAAGGTTATCAAAATAACTTAAATTGACTTTTGTACATGATATATATATAAAGCAATTTCAGTTCTGAAGTAATACTTTAAAGTTCATCTATTTAGAAACACAGATATCTTGACCATCTCAAAATAACTTGAAAATGATTGTTAAATGCATTTATTAAAACTTGACCAAGTCAATTTGTTTTAGGAGCATGATATCAAGGTGTTCAAGCACTGTAGTTTCATCATAAGAGGCAGCTCTTGTTTTTAGCTAATCTAAACGGCCGAAATATCTAAGCAAACCACTCAATGAGAAATTCTCAACACCTGTCATTTATTTTGATGTAATCAAAATGATTTTGAAACTAAAAATTCCATTGTCTATAAATATGAAGTATTTAAGGTGAGGAAAAACATTTTAACTAGAAATTCTTATTACTGTTATTTTTGTTATACTTAATTACATAGTAAGAAAGCATTTTGTGCTTGAATTTAGAAAATGTATTTAAGATTGCTATATAGCTACTAATGACAGTAAACACAAAGAAAACAATAAAAATTAGTAAATTTAACAACATTAATTTTATGTCATTTTTTTTTTTTTAATTTTTTTTAATAAAGCACTAGTGGGTAGGTAACTGGTCAGACCTCTTAAATAAATAAAATTAATGTTAAATTTACTAATTTTGATTGTTTACATAGTTATGTATAAAGTTAGATCCCCACTGATTGAGCATATATACTTATATATGCAAGCAATACTTACAGTGAGAATATTTTATAATTTACAACATTGTGGAATTAATTTACCTTTCTATTGTGTTTTTTTTTTTGTGGAGGTCACTTCAGACCGTAAAATACTTTTTTTATATTTATCATGGATACAAAAATGAGTTTTTCTAACTACACTGCTTTTAACTCAGTAGTCAGTCGAGTCTATACTTTAAAATATTGAAAATTTAAAATTAGAATTTACAGTGTTTGACATTACATTACAAAGTTCACTAATATATTTTCAAAGTTAACATAGCTAATCAGAATTAAGCAATGCAGAATGAAATTCTGTAAATAGTCAAATGTAACTTTTAGAGATTTGAAGAAAACCAGGTGAAAACTTACTGTCAAGGTTCAATATAAACAGTACACTATTTGGCAACTTTGAAACATTAATAGCTTCATTAGTTTCTAAACTAAGAAAAATTCACATTTCAAGATAATTTTACAATTATTACAAACATCAATTATTTTTATAAAATGCAACACATTTAGAGTGGAATTAAAAGAGACAAATAATTTAAACTAAATTTAAAAAAGGATTTCCAAAGTGGGGATAAACTGATTATATAATTCAGGATATATTAGATAAACACTCAAAGAGGTCTAGCATTTTAGAGTGCTTTGCAAAAGTAAAAAAAAAAATCAGTAATATCCAAATAATTTAAATGTAGTAAATTTAGCTTATTAAAATCATAATCAGTATATTAAATTTAAAAACCCTTAAATATGATCTTGAACAGTGTACAAAACTATAAAGATTTAATATACTCCATGTGAAAATATTTTAGTTGTGCCTGAAAACAGATTTTTTAAAACTATGAATTTAGGCTAACTGAAAGGCTAATTATCTAATTTTATCAAAATTCTTCCCAAAATATATTCCTAAAATAAACATTAAGAATAAAAATAAGAACTATAAATACATACAATACAAAAGGAAAAATTAACTTCCTAAATTCTTGCTATTATAAATATTTAAATGATACAGTATCTTACAAATATACAAGATAAGGATTTTAATACAAAAGGTGTAAACTAAACTTCTTTAAATAAAAGACATCTTGACAATTACTATTCTCATGCTTGTATTTATTATGCATATTAAGTTTTAAACTAACATTGCCTTACACTATAACATAAAAATACAAGCATGGAAATAGTTTTTCCAAGTATGATCAAATTGTGACCATAGTCCTTTACATATATATATATATATATATATATATATAACAATTCAGATTAAATCTGTAATAAAAAGCAATGTTGAGCTATAGCCATACAATTGTCAAATTCAATAAAAAAGAAATTAAAAAACAAAAATAAATAAATCCAATTTTACCAAAGTTGAGAAACTAGATTATGATTAATGACATAACTCTGAATATATATTGGCAAAAAGTGAAGTTTTCATATACAAGTTAAAAAACTTTTTCCTCAGAAATAAGGTATACAAATTACCCAACTTGGCTGCCAAACTAAGTTTATATTCTCAAACAAAATTGACAAATCCTGAAAAATCAGATAAGATTAATTAAAGAATGATATTAATAACTCAAAACCAAATGACTATGATCCAGAAGTATGAGTATATACATACAAATGCAGCAATACAACATTTTAAAGAGGGAAGAAGGGAGGGAAAGTCATTAATACAAATTCTAGCACCAAGATTGAGAACAGAAAACTTAAACTGAACAAGACTTGGAACATTTCAGACATGAATAGTCATAACAATCATGTCACACAATTGATGCTGCTGCTGCTGCTGTTGTCAGTAGTTTCATAAAAACCTTTTTTGTCTGCTTATTCACTCATACAAAAAGCTGCCATGGGTTTTTTTTTTTTAATGCAAGCCATCAAAAATTCACACACATACATCTCAATTAGTCAGGAATATTGAATATAAAATAGTACACGTGTGCATATATAAAAGAGGTGGAGAGTTATATTAATCTTAAAAGATTTAAGTAAATATTGAGCAAGATTATACATCCCAAGGGATGATCCACAAGAGTAAAATATCAATTAGGTAGGGAGGGTCTCTCATTAACTTCAGCTGAGCACAGGGGAAGGTGATTTTTAAGGCAAAAGCACATGCAGAAATGTGGGGGTAGCCAAGGGAAAAAAGTTTCCCAAACTGAAAATAAAATACCAGTTTTGCTCCTTTTAATGAAATAGGGGAAATAATAAATTCTGTCCAAGACATTAAGGGGGTAAAAAAAAAAAAAAAAAAAAAAAAAATCTTGTCAGAGACTTATTAAAATACAAAGATATCAATTTATTGCTAGAATCGGCACCCCTGCAAAGCAAATTGAATTGACCCAATTTAGATATTTTTTTCTATAAACTCAAAAACAGGAAAAATAAAAAAAGAGAAAAAGGGGAAAAGAGAAAGAGAGAGAAAAAAGAAAAAAATAGGAAGGGAAAAAAAGTATTACATTAGTGACGTCGTATAATGGACATACAATAAAAGCGTTCCATCTCCACTATAATGAGCGATACTTACCGAAAATGCTGAGTCACACATTAAGGGCTCCAGAGGTAAAATGGCTGCACCCATGGACTGTTAAGACAGAGCAGTGGTAAAGTGAATGACACAACACCCAGAGGTAGGTAAGAAAAGCAAGTACCATAAAGACAAACATTGGACTGCAGTAGAAGTAGAAATGTTTGCTTTATTAGCAGCAGTTAATAAGAGGGCTCCTTAGCTTCTTGAGATACATTTTTTTTGTCTCATGTAATTTTGTAAAAGTGATTAGTAATCCTATTTTAAACAGAATATATATAATAATAATAAAAAAATCCATGGAAATTATGTTTATTATAATAAAGTAAACCATACTGATTCAATTTATTCATGGAAACTTATTTTGAGTAATATATCCATTTTACCTTGTCAACCCCACCCAAATACTTGAGAAACTTAACCAACAATAAAAGAAAACCAGCATAAATAAAAACAATACCTTAAAATAAACAACAGATCTGAAACTTGAAAATACTAAAATCCTGTAGCAAAACTAAAACTAAGCCAAACTGAACAAAAATTTTGCAATAACCTACCAGCAAGAAATATAAAGAAAAAAAAAAAAAAAAAAAAAAAAAAAAAAAAAAAAATTCAGTTGAAGTTAATTTAGTTTGAAACATTAATTAACAAATATGCTACTGCAATATATTAAGGTCATTTTTGTTTTAATGTAACAAAAGTACATCAATATAAATTGATCAAGAGATGAACATCTGAATAAATTTGATCATTCAGTAAATGACTACAGTAAAACCTCAAAGTTTAATAAAAATTCTTAGAATAAACTGAAATTTTAGCAATTAAGAAAAAAGGTTCACTATTATAAATTTAAGAGAAATATAAAGCCCACAAAATAGGAAAACATCAGTTATTAGAGTTTTATTAGATTTTTTCAATTATTAAGAGCAAAAATATTTTAAAATAAAAGAATCAATTTCCTTGTTTGATATAAGACTTAAAAATTATTTCCTTGCACCTTATTCACTAATAAACAATTTATGTAGATCAATGAACAATGAGTACATTTGTAAAAACCAAGCATTGATGAAAGTAACATGCAATAATAGACAGCAAAGAGTTACTATTTGCAAAAAGACTTCATAACTTGATTAAACTGTTCAATAAAATGAGAAAAATAATGCCAATTTCTTAAAAACTGGAGATCTCTTGGTGAATTAATTAGTATAGAAAAGTGAAAGTTTTTGTAGAAATGAAATTCCTTAATATAAAACGAGCCAACATAAGCAAATGATGTTCATTGTTATAGCCTATATTCTTTACCAAATTCATTGTGCCTTTTTTAGACCGAAACAAATCAACGAGAGGCAAGCTATATAAAATAGAAAAAATGGTTATGAAATTTTAAAGCAGTAAACTCAGAAATAAATGATTGCTATTTCTTTTCAATGTAATTAAACTCGTAAACCTGTGAAAATTATATGAACTAAATTCTGAAAACATTAACTAGAAAGATGAGTATGTAAAAAAACAATTCATAACAAAAACAGATTTAAGTTTCTCACCCACATTCAGAAATTATATATATATATATATATATATATATATGAAGCTCAAAAATTAGAAATATGATAGTATCAAACCATCTCAATCATTACCAAAAATGCTATAATCCTACAGAAAGAATGCTTAACTGGCTTACTAGATAAAAGATGAGCAGTCATTTTTAAAGCATTTAAAAGTGGGAGAAAAAAAACAATAAAAACCTATCAAAAATGTACATATGACACAATGCTTTGAATTAATCATTAGTAGATTTACAAATTTCTCCATGAAATTTCTGTATGCTCATCAATTGCAATTTTAAGAACATAAACAAGTAGAAGTGGCACACCAGAAACTCATGAATAAAAACATTGAATGAAATGCTTCAATCATTTGGGAATATTTTCAAATTAATCATTTAAGAATTTTTGTAATAAAGAGGAAATCTTAAAAAAAAAAAAAAAAAAAAAAAATGAAACACTTACACATGCCTAATGGGGAAAGAAAAATAACTTGGTATGCTACCAAACCAGTAACAACACCATGCAGTATTTTTAAAGGTATAGTCAGATATAACCATTCTGAATTATCTCGATTAATTTCTGTAACATTATGAATCTTAATTGTTTGCATGCCCAGTAAAGCAGTTTCTAATTTGAAGTAATCATCTCAGTTTGACATTGTCAAATTTTTTTTTTTTTCTTTTTTGATTTGAATAAATTTTGATCAAGCAATACTAAGTATAGTTTTGCAGCATATAGTCATTTAATTGAAGTTTCAACTTTTTTCCATTTTGATATCCACAATTTCAAATTTTATGGACTAATATTTTCCAGTCCCAGATTATAAAAAAGTAAATAAAAAGAAATTTGTACGGCTAAAATGTAACATGATAAAGAAAAAATATTCATTTTAGAAAGCATGTTACTTTATGCTGCATTTTTCTAGGTTTAATAACGATAAAATAATTTATTTCAGTAAATATTAGAATTTGTTTTAATTTATCAAACATCCCTTTTTGAAAATTTTAAAGAAAATCTTTCAGCAAATTGAAAACTCAAACTTATCCAAAATACTATGAACTAACAAAACTACTGGTTGATTTTAACATTCTGACCAAATAGAATAGTCAATTAGATTGAATTCCTCTTGAAATTTAAAAAAATTTAAACAATTTAGAAACAAATAAGACAAAGTTGCACATTAATTGCATACAGAACTTTTGATACAAAAATGTGTAAAATGAACATGGTATAATACACATAATCCCAAAACTCCCATCCTTCGTAAGGAAATCATCTTCAATATGTGAAGAGACTGTAATAAGCTCCAAGTTTTGCATAATCATCAAGTGTTTTTCTTTTTACTAATAGCTATTCATTGAATAAAGTCAAATCAATCAACAAAAAAAAAAATAAATATCTAAAGCATTGATATAGCAACAAAAATTTCATTCAGAAATACAATTATTCTAACATTGCAATTTAAAATGGAAAAAATGTATTTTAATAATCCAATACACAAACCTTTGCAGAATTGATAAAACTCAAGAAAAAAAAAAAAAAAAAACCCGATACAACCCTCCCCACCTGTGATTCATAAAAATTTCCAATGTCTTACCAACACTATCTCTTCACTTCATATATAAAACCAGTTCCAAAAAACTAATAGTAAAATAAAAACTTTATATTCTGAAAACAAATCATAAAACAATAAGCACAGAAGAACAAGAGAAGAGTATTAATTAAAAAAAAAAAAAAAAAAAAAAAAGTTTCAGGGTTGTCATTTAAAAAACAAAACTGAAAAGAAAATATCTTAAAACCAATCTGAAAGCAGAATTTATGTAGAATTCAATAGACTTATAGAAAACTGCTGGAGATGAATACAAAAAGAAAACCAATATTTATGAAATCAGTTACGGTTTACTACCATGCTTTAAAAAAAAAAAAAAAAAAAAAAACTAAAATGTATAATTCAAGATACTAAACTTTTTTTTTGAAATATACAAAGTGTGAATGTTCTTACACATGATTAAGTGTGTGCACACACACACACACACACACATACATACATACACTCACACATTCTGCTGTCAATTCAAACTGAAAATAAATTTTTCTTTTAAAATCATGGAGAGATTAAAGTATGAAAATTATCAAAAAAATAAACTGGCACTTACAAAAATGCATTTGTGACAAATGTTTTATTAACAGTTTACTTCTATTTGTTGTGTGCTTTGACAAATACAACAATCTGGCACCTAAATGAACAAATTTGGAAAGGATGCAGTACAGTTTGGCCGATTCTAGCAATAAATGAAAAATCCTCAGCTAGAAAGCAAACAAAATGAAATAAAATGAATACAAGCTAGTTTATTTCTCCCGTTTAATAAGATTAGATCATAATGAATGTTAAAAAGTTGTTGTTGGGGGGGAGGGGAGAGGAAAAGGGGGATTGAAAATATTTTCCCAGTAAATATTGTTTGTGAAATAAAAACTTCTCTGCTTGTCATTAAAAGAGGTCATTACTTGTAAAATTAACACTCACTGAGTGTTTAAAATGAATTTGTACCTACAGAAATAGGTCAAAGCCACACCAGAGTATGACTCAAACAAATGCACAAACACAAAAACTCAAATTTAAGTTAAAAACTGATCTCTATATAAAAAAAAAAAATTTTTTTAATATAAACAGCAAATCAAACAAAAATAATGGTGATTGACAAAAAGAAAATGGTAATTAAAAGATATTTGCTAAATTCATAGAATATTTAAAGATCTTGTATACAGCCACCATAAACAAATAAAATGAAAATAAATAACAGAAAATAGGTCTAAAAAGAGTGAACTGAGAAATGTTTAACTTGTCCATAACTAAAAGTTGCCATAAGAACAAGACATCCATCAAACTACTGAAAGCAAAAATTCATGCACAGAAAACTAATATTTATTCTAAGTAGGACAAACATCATATTTTTGGCTTAGGGAAATGAGTATTGTTTTGTAGTATATGAGAAAAATAGCACAAAAAAAAAAAAAAAAAATATATATATAAAATAATTTGCCATGAGAAAAAGTTATATATATATATATATATATATATATATATATATATATATATATATATAAAGCAATAAATATACACTACCATACATTTTTTATAATAATTCAGGAATAATATACACATTACCCAATACTTATTTTCTAAGACATTTCAAACTATGAAGATAGCTATTAAACTTTCTACTATACACTTTCCACTGTATTTGGTAGGAAGTATCTTTGTGCAACATAATCACTTAAAGTTGAAAGTTTTGTACATTTTATAAATAAATAAATAAATAAATAAATAAAAAAGGGACACACTAAATTGTATGTTGTGAACACCTTATTTAAAATTTAGAAAAATCTAAACAAGAAAACAAGTCATAAGCATCAATTTTTTTTTTTTCTCCCCAGAAAATATCAATTACTCCCTCCCACTGCCAACATAATACATTATGCATATTTGAAATAATGCTTCTATTTTTGCAGCCAGGATTAAAATCCAAATATATTAATCTGATATAAAGGAAAGCTGCAAATATGTCCTTATACCTTCATTATTTTTTTTTAAGTGAAGGAGATAGAGAAAAGTAAGGAAAAGCATTAGGAAAGGAAAAAGAATGTTTGAAGATTTTACTGTGGCAATGTCAGTAATCATCAAGCCTAGTAAATGACAAAGCCAAGCTCATTCAGGATAACAGAAGAACCATTATTAGAGCAAATTTGAAACAGGGGGAAAAATAAAATAAAAACTGAAGACAAATCAACCATTATACTCACACTTCCTGTCCAGCTGTCATCATTCCAGTCTTCTGAAGACAGAGTATCATTCCAAGCTGCAACAGAAAAAAAAAAAAAAAATATGTAAAATATTTAGACTAATAAAATTAAAGGATATGTCTGAATGTTGAATATTGCATATGGCAAAGTGGGATGTGGGGGATCAATACAAATTCAAAATATAGTTACATCAAATCAAGTTCTGGATCAAACACAATTTCAAGTATTCAGTGACCACAAAATATTACTGAATAAAATCATGAAATACCCAATTACCATGTTTTATTACTGAATTTTGTTTTAAAAAAAAGTTATAAAATAAATAAACAAGATCCTTTGAATGCAAGCATGTATACCTGTTTTATAGCAGCTTTTTAGCTGCTTTCTTAGCCATATGCAAGTTGCCTTCTACCTAATCATCATTTGAGAACAGATGAAAGTTTGAGGATGCCAGATCAATACTGCAGAGTGGATGAGGCAATTGACTGCTTGTTTGATATTTCAACTATTGAAAAGACATACATTGTCATGTTGCAAAAGCACATCCTTCATTTTCAGATGTGGCCTAGCTTGAAGATTTGCTCCAAGTTTTAACAATGTGCTTACATCATGCTCCTTTCTGAGTGAGGCTATGCTTTACCATGTCACTGATCTTTTGCCTTCCAATTCATGATGGTGAACCCAGTTTCATCTCCTGTAATTATCTTGTTCAAGAAGGTGCTATTCTTATTGTGCAGCTCCAGCATTCTGAAACCCACTTTACACAAACCTTTGAGTATCAAAGATTCCACTCAACTACAGGCATTATCACAACTTTTATAGTTCTGCAATAATTCTTCTGTGTGCTGTAATGAAGGTATCAGTCTGCTTATTCTTATTCATAACAGTAGCTGGCCTGCCACTAAGGTCTTTTTTTCTAGGAATGCTAGTAACTACTTATCCATCTCTTTAATATATTTATATCAAATGTAACCTTTCAATAAACAGTCAATAACCTTATGTGAAGGTTTTCAACTCTTCCTCCTTCCAAAAATAGAAATTCTATGACAGCTCATTATTTTCAACCTGTGTCTAGGTGTAATCATTTTGAAAGGATTATGGATAGAAAAAAAGGAGAAATCATCCCATTCCAGGACACCCTTTTAATACTTTTTTTTTTTTTTTTTTTTATTTATTCACTCAATACAAGACCAACTCAAGATAGATTGCTAAAAGTTTTTGTAAAGGCATATATGGAGGGAGCAAGAGGTGCATATTATGAGAATATGTAGGATAGATAACAGTTGACCTTAAACCTTAAGGTTAAGATTGCTGTGATTGAAGAAGGATCCTTTTGGGATTCTGTTCCACAATCTGGGGAAGAAGCTGAAAGGGAACCACCACCTTACCAATGGAATATGAAGGGAATAAGGAAGATTGTACATGGCATGGTGAGTTCAAGCTGTGAAGCGTAGTAAGAGACTAGAGACATTTAGTTGGTGGGAAAGAGGTTGTAGGGTGGAGAAAAAAAAAAATCATCACTCACAAGGCTGCACAAATGCTTTTGAAATTTACCAAGAATGGAAAGTGAAGATTGGGCATCTCCAGCCCAGATGTAGCAGCAATACCATGTTTTATCTAATTTGATTCTTGTAAAAGAGAGCATGGCAAGAGTAGTAAGGCACTTTTTGGAATGTTACAAGAAAGCAACCTTTTTTCCAGCACTGTTAGTGATGAATTGTATAGACAAGTGTCATTTGAGGTCTGGAATGAACTGGAGTCCCAACAGATGTTCTGGGCAAGGAGCCTCATTGAGAGTACAACTGAAAACTCAGGATCTGCTGTGATAATGAAACAGTACTAGCTTGGTTTTGGATGCATTGAATGTTACAAGCCAGTTCCAAGGTCAAAAGAAATCAGCTATCAGGCTCTGTTCATTTAAATTTTGGAAGTGCACCCATAAACCATGGTATTGCCTGCATATATATTTACTGATCCAAGAATCTTCTTCAGCAGATCATTAATATAAAGCAAAAGAGGATAGGACAGAGGATCTCATGAGCTCCAGAGGACTGGCAATTAACAATCTTCAGAGACCTACGCAATAGGAAGGACTTGATAACTAAGGACTCTTTCAGAAATGTTATAGCTGAAGAATTTGTGTAGCAGCCCTCAATGTCACACCTTGTCAAAAACCTTTGAAATATCCAAGGCAACAATTGCTATATAAAAAAAAAAAAAAAAAAAAAAAATCAAGCACTTCCGATTCTATACATAATGACAGTCAAGACATCAGCAGTGGACCTGGAGGAGCAAAATCCATTTGTCATTTAGGAACCCGTGTCTGTTGAGGTGGTTGACAACCATATTAATGAGAACTGCATAACTGAATAACTTTCTTTTAGAGATATGCATAGATTTCTTTTAACTAGTGCTTACCTTTGTAATTTATAAAAACACTAGGTCTTAAAAGAAAGCAAGGAGGTGTAATCTGCAAGGAAAGTAAAATTATACTCACTCGAGCTCTCTTTCTCAGCGTTTTCAGCAGTTTCATTGGTCCATGTATCGATTTGTGGACCTTTGTCAAACCTCTGATTGCGAAAACTTCTGAAAGCAAATTTACAATTATCAATACAAAAAATAAATTAAAAGAAAAAGAAAAAAAGACAAAACTAATTTATATTCCAGACATTGATTTCATTTATTTATAGGCCATTTAAAATGTTAACATTTAATAAGTCTTTTCAGTTAACATATATTAAATCAATTAGTTTGATTTTAGTGACATAAATCAGTGTTTCCCAAAGTGTGCAGTACCCCTCCCCATCGGAGGGGGTGACACAAAGGGGGTGTTGGGGACGACAGAGTCTTATTAAGAGCATATAAATAATAAAAATATTGATACTTTTTAATTTTTTTTTTTTTTTACAAGATCTGAAAGAAAAAATATGTCAGTTACTGAGGTAGAACTCTTATGCAATTTATAGATAATAAAAGTGACATTAGAATTAAAAACAAATGCATAGTTCTGTTACGTAGCCAAAAGTCATAACCAAAAGTGAACATTTGCATGATGCCAATACACAACACGTATAGCAGACTCAGAGGGAACCTGCATTTAACACACGTAGCTGCCACCTTGGCACCCAGCCAGATCAGTCTCAGAGTAAGTAAACAACTAGGCTACATGGTCCAAAGCTCGCCTCAGGATTGTAAACACTGTACTTTAATTTCAATCTTACAATGTTCAGAAGTTTTTAAATATTTTAAACATATTAAAGATGTAAAAGAATGGGAGTCTTAAGATTTGGTATACACCTTGGTCTGTATTTCCTAAACAAAGCTATTTACTTATAATCTGACTTAAATGGCTTCAACCCTTCCGGAAACTCATCAGATTAACTAAAAAAAAAAAAAAAAAAAAAAACAACTTTGGTTGGGTGAACGCACCATGCTTGTTTGGCTCGGTCTGGATCCTCGTTATGTAGCGTCCTCTCGCAGTAAATGTTGAAAGTTTATGTCACTCCAGCCAATTTTATTTTGCAATTGTCAGAGCATGATATTAGGGGTTAGATTAGATTAGTTTAGATTACCAGTTAGGTTACATTTAGTTAGCTTTTGTTTGATCTTGTTGATACAGGCAATCATTGAGGCGCGGACAGGGTGGTGTAGCAGTATTGCATGACTGAGCTTTTTTCTTATTTTCAGATTTAGAACACCATTTCTGGATTAAAGTATTTCTTCCTGATATATTTTGGTGTTTTGTAGTTATCTGCTGTTTGTTTTCATGGAAAACATTTTTCATACAGTGGAGGGTCATAAAACAAAAATAAGTAAGAAAAACAAACATCAGATTCACTCCAAACACATGAAAATCTATCGAAAAAAAACATTTTGTTTAAAAATGGAGCCCTTGCATAAAACAAATATTTACTTGGAAGTCTATTAATGTAAGAACACCTAAAGTTTAAAAGTGTTTCTGACTTTTAGTACGCACCTTACTCTGCTAAGGTCATGATTTTGAAATTTCAATCTTGCTGCCATAAGGATGTGGTGAAGTATATATGTATTGCTCATAATTTCTTATTTCTGTATCCCAGACTTTTCTACAGGAAACTAGTGTGAAAAACAGACATGGAACATTTCCACCCCCACCTTAACACTGGCTTCCCGGGCAAGACTCCCCACACACAACCCTAAGCCAGCCTGCCAGTGTCACTGCTGTTTACACTACACGTGTTCATAATATTTCATGAACACACACACACACACAATACACACACAAGCTTTTTTAAAAACTACTTCTTGCTTGAAAAGTGTCATTGTTGGTTGAAAAGGTGTAGTCATTGCCCAAAAAACCCTATATAGTTCATAAATGTTTTTTTTTTTGCTTTTTTTTTTTACAGAATAAAGAATGTCAACACCACATCAAGCAAAAAAGTGTAGGCAGTATAGTGTAGAATAACTGAAATATGGATTTGTAGACGCACCACACAGACAACAGCAACCTATGTGTCTACTGTGTGAGAAAGTATTTTCAAATGAAGCCATGAAACCTTCCAGACTCTTGGAATATTTGATATAGCATATTTTCATTCATTCTGAGAAAATTTTCTGAAAATATGTTTGCTAGCACTTCACAACAATCCATTGACAGTTTGCATGCTTCATACATTTCTTTGCTGATTGCTAGATCTGGTAAGCCTCATATGATTGGGGAGGAACTTATTCTGCCTGCAATAAGAGAGGTTCTGCACACAGTTGTACATAAATCACCTGACCAAATTATAAAAGTTATCCCTCTCAGTGATAACTGTTCAAAGAAGAGTAGATGAAAAGTTGGTTCAAAAGATGTTATTTACAAGATAACTTAAAACAGACATTAAAGAGGTATCAGTATTTAATGTTGAGAAATTTTTCAGAGAAAAACATTCCACTTTCTAACATGCTTGCTTGTGCAACAGATGGAGCACCATCGACAATAGGTTGCTGTCGTGGCTTCATCAGTTTCTTGAAAAAAAAAAAAAAAAAAAAAAAACCTGTACCCAGTGTGTTTACGATGCAGTATAATCCACAGGCAACATCTGGTAAAAAAAAAAAAAAAAAAAACTAAATGAAATCAATGAATACTGTTATCACAGCGGTAAATAAAATCGAGACAGTTTCTCAAATTCCAGACTGTTTGGACAGCTTTGCATTGATAATGATGAAGAGCTTGAACATTTATTGCTGCACACAGAAGTTAGATGGCTGTCAAAGGGAAACTTCCTGAAATGTTTCTATTCACTGTTTGATACAGTAGTAAAATTTTTTTCAAGACTCACTTGGTCTCTGTGATGATCTTAAAAACATCAAAAATGACATTGCTTATTTGTTAGATATATTCACAAAGTTCAATGAAATTAATTTGCAGTTGCAAGGAAATGATCCAAACCTTATCAAAGTCTAATCTTCTATCTCCACCTTCCTGTCTAAGTGTAAGTTATTCAAATGAAACTTAGCCTGTCATGAACTCTACCAGTTTCCAAGCCTCTCTGAATTGGATAAAGAGAAGAGCATATCAGATGATGACCTTCAAGTGTATTGTGCTCACCTGGAAGAGCTGCAAAGAGACATGTCTGAAAGATTTCAGGATCTTTTATCACTTAAAATACCAGACTGGGTAATCAATCCATTCTTAGATTTAAGCAGTGAGGAAACAGGAGAGGCATAGGAAAAATTAGTTTCAATCCAAAACAACATTGAGCTAAGGCCAAAGTTCAAGATAAAGATTTTTGGTTAAAAAAAATCTGACTTCTATCCAGTATTATGGAACAAGGTGAAGATATATTTTATTGCCTTTCCAACATCATATTTGGTAGAATGGGACTTCAGTGCAATTACCTTGCTTCTTTCCAAGCAAAGGAACAGACTTAAAATTACCGAACATTGAGATCTAAGACTTCTTAGTGAGTTCCAGCCTGATGTGGAGAAACTAATATCCCTACACCCATCCTGTTAGAAGTAATTGTGAAAACTAAAATGGTTTATTAAATTAACTAATATTTTTCAACACATTTTGTTTAATATTGTTGTTTTCATTTTGAAAAAATAGCTTGCATGGGGAGAGGGGGAGCTAGGAATCTATCTGGAAGCCAAAGGGGCACCGGGGCTGAAAAAATTTGGGAAACACCGACATAAATGAACCATTATACTTGCATAAGTACAAAAATCAATTTTTCAGCTCTACTTGTGCCACTTTGAGATTGTGATCAAAGTTAAACCAAAATTTTCAAGTCTATTGAAGACACTCTACAAAAAAATTTGCTATCAAAACTTAATGAAATGATTGCCTGGAATATGGAAGTGAATAATGCAAATTGTTCATTGAATTAACATATTTCAATATTTAAGACACCCAAATTATTCTACTAATATTCCTTTAACTTGGCATTAAAAAAAAGAACCTGAGAAAGGAACATTCACTGCCAAAATGTAACTTCTAATGATTATCTAGAATTCCAATATAAGTAGATTACCAAATGACTTAGTATTTGTGCTTAAAAAAAAAAAAAATTCTTAGCTAAATTAAGATTTTATTATAGATAAATTTATGATAAGAGGTTATACAAGACTATAAAAATTGCTGCAACTTACCGTGGTCCACGCCCTCTTCTGCCCAAACCTAAAGTCAAATTTAAAGAAATATTTAATGGAAGTACTTATTTTGAAAAACATTTAATAAAACTTCAGAATTCACTTTGAGAGTAAATATATCATGATTAAAATAAACAGGATAAAAAAGAAAAATACCTCTTCCTCGTCCTCTTCCAAAGCTGCGATCTCGCCCACCGCCTTCCTCATTACTTTCTTCTTCATTTTCTTTATTTTCTCTGAAGTCTCCTCTGTCTCGTCCTCGACCACGGGCATGACGGGGAGGGAGGGGCCCACTACGGCGACCACGCCTGTGTCCAAAATCAGCCTTATCAGCTGTACGGGGTTCACGATCTTTGCTGCGCTCCCTAGTGTCTGACCTGTTCTCACTAATGTGATTGGCAACAGGCTCAGATTTCTGATTTGAGGAAGCAGCAGCAGCAGCAGAAGCAGCAGCAGTATTTGTACGTTTCTTTTTTTTACCAGACTCTTTCCACTCACCCTAAAGGATAAAACAAAGACATTGTTGAAACAGGACAGACAAAATCCAAATTTGATCATTACCAGTTCATGTTGGTTCATTATAAAGTACTTTTATTATATAAATAAGTATCAATCCAAATAAAAAATGTAAAAACTTTAAAGCATAAATCCCTGAAAAAAGGTTTTAAGTCAGTCTGATGTAGGTACCTCCACTTGTTTGCTGAAAAAACATCACAACATAATGAAAAAAGGCCCCAAACTTAATAAAACAAAGTTTTATCATCAAAATGTTTGTCATTATCAAGAGGAAAGACCAAAGTATTTTTTTTATTTTATTAAATTTTTTAATCATTTCTAGCACATTTGAAATTTTGGTAAAAAATTTTTTTAAGCCAGCAGTCTACATAATAATGATTAATTTTTTAGTGCATTTTTTTCAGGTAGAAAACAATTTGGAAATTCTAGCAAAAATCAAATAATTTTAAGGAAACTTTCAGGACTTATTCACAAATGAACAAATTTTTTTTTTTTACATGTTACCCCCACCCCTACACACACACTCACTCAGACCACTTAATTTCATGAAATTGAGAAATTAAATTTCAATCCCAAAATGAATTTTATTAGTTAAAAGCAGGACTCCTTGTAAAATGTAAATCAATTGTTTTTTTTTTTTCAAACTACTACCCATTTCCCAAAAATCGGCTCTGTATTGTAAATAAAAAATGCAATAAAACTATAACATTTAATTTGAAAAGCTTTTATTTTTCTAAATAAAGATTTATTAAGGATACTATTGTCTAAGAAAAATAATTTTTTTTTCCATAAATAATGAATTTTTAGAAGAATTGTTTGCATTTTTTTAAAATTTTAATTATAATATATAAATTGTTTAAAATTCTGCATTACTCTAATCCAGTTAAATGATATTGCGATTAAGTGAAATCTATATTTACTAATCTAAAATCGAAAAGCTTAATACAGAGTATTTTGTATCAAGATTCAATTTTTTCTTTTTTTCTGTATATATTTTGCAATGTGCCCCTGTTTGAAAGTATGGTCAACCATACAGGACATAGCAGAAAATAAGAGCACTGACTATAAACTTAAAGTCAACATACCTTAAATTTCATTATAGGGAAAATTTCCCAACATTTTTAACATTACTGAGTACTTTAAAATTTTTATATATATATATATATATATATATATATATAAGTCCTCACCAGTTATTTTCTTAAATTATGTTTTCACAGATAAAGTCTCTGTAGAACAACAAAAAATGTGTTGACATGTCTCAGCACTTGTTAAGTGATCTACAAATGACAAGTGATGGTGACAAGCACATAATCACTGCTACTGTTTGTTTTAAAAATCCATTTCTCCTATTTTCAACTTAATGTAAATAATATTTTTTTTAAGCCAGATTAATTATACTTTAAAGTCAGCTAATATTCCTTAAAGTTTCAGAAAAAAATATATATTATTTTTGGAAGATTTTTAAAACCGAGAATTAACTTTTGTTTACAAATTTGTCAAAAAAAGACAATTTTAAATGATTTTCTGAAAGCAACCAAAAAAAATATAATTTCTATTTGAAATCCAGATTATTTTGCTTAATGGAAATAGTAAATTTAATCATTTAGCTTTCAATTAAAGCTAAAAAAAAAAAATAAAAAAAAAAAATCAAGAATGCTTTTTCATTTTTAAAAATTCATTTTAATCCTCAGGTATCAAATATTCAGTGGAGGTACATAGTCTGATGAGAGTTCATTAATGCCCTGAGATCTTAAAATTTAAACCATGTTAAGATAGGGCTTTGTTCAATAACTTTTTAATTTCACTCATAATTTTTAATTTATACAAGCAGAGCACTTGGCAGAATAGATAACTTCAAATATGATAATACAGGAAAAAATATGTTAACTATATTTTGCACAATAATTAGAGAGATTATTTACACCTTAAAAAACAATGTCCAATACAAATCAAAATCTTCTATCACTGTACCATTATGAAAGTTGCTTGGGGATCCAACCTTTGAACCACCAACATAGAATTGGCCAGAGAAAAAGTGTGGAGAAATCAGGTTGAGGCCAATATTGAAAAATTGTCCTTATGCTTTGTTGATGACCATGGCAAAGTTTTCATTGAAAATATCTTAAATTCATCAAGGAATTTGATTTGAATTATGGGGATGCTGAGAATGAACTTTTCCTTATGTATCCCAGTTAGGAAAGTTGCCTCAATGACACAAACGCTGCTGCTTGACAGCTAAGCGAGTTCCATCACAACTTTGGAAAGTTAACATTTGAGAAGCAGAGGAAGTACAACTTTTTAGCTTAGGGAAAACATTCAGCTCAAGAGAATTGAATTAAATTGGGTTCTGATAGACTCAGATGTGTCTAGAACTGAATCAACTTGTGCAATGGTTCACTCTCCAGAAATCTGGAGCGACAGTTAAATTTTATCTTTCTTTTATGGGCTGTGCCCCTTCAAGACGATTGTGGCTATCTACAACTTCCTATCTTTTGTAGCACTTTAAAAAAAAAAAAAAAAAAAAAAAAAAAAAGGAAATATCCTTCCTGTTATGCCATCTATTTACATTTAGTTTGTTTTCCTGGCCCTCTTGTCTTCAATGTCATAAAAATTTCAATTGTTACTTTGATCCTAACTGTCCTTTTTTGTTTCTCTTTTCCTTAAAACTTCATTGCTTACATATTCCTTCTATGGTATTCTTCTGTAAAACCACATCTTGGTAACAAGTCTCCTCTTCATCAGTATTCACTGGCATGTAGGAGGATTTATATTACATAGCAGTTTATCACTTTTCTTTGTTTCTAATAAACTTTTCCTGTTTCTTAATACTTTGATTTGCTTTTGGAGGGAATCTTTTTCTATTCCAATGTGCCTTCAGATTTCAGTGTTCATCTATTAAAACACTTCCCAGATATTTAAATTTCTGTACTGGTTTGTCTTTTGATGTCTTCAATTCCTAAATTGCATCTCAGGCCATTTCTCTTGCTAACAACCATACATTCTGCCTTCTTACAATTGATGGTTAGTCCTTTTGTTCTTACTTTCCTGCTTTGCCCAAGAATTCATGCTATTTTTGTGTCTGCAATAAACAGTCATCTGCATATCTTCTGCTGAGATTGTGCCCACCAACAATAAATCCCGGTAGGATGTCAAATTCTTTTAGGATTGCCTTGTCGCAAATGTTGAATAAATCCAGCAAGAAAATGTCCTTGTCGTATGTCCCTTTCTACTTTTTTGTACTTCATTCATTTTCTATTTTTATGCAGGGCATTTGTTCCCATATACGTTCTGTATTCTAATTTCTTTCCCAACATAGTTCAAATAAATCTTTGTGCAGTACTTTATCAAATGTCTTGCATCATCTATAAAATAGGTCCTTTTGTTCTCTCCAATATCAGAGAGGCTTTCAGTTAAAATGAAGCACACAATACTGAAATGTGCCCCTTACCATTATGTCTGGATAATTCTGAAAAGTTAACTAAGAAATTTTGCTGTTAAGCTTGTGTAAGAATTTTTATTATTGAGTGTATATTTAATTTAAGGCCTTTTCACCCCAGTTGCATTATAAGTTCAAGGCCACGTTTAATTCTGTAAAAATGTCCTGGATATACCAGAATAAAAATATCAAAAACAGGGCAATACAAAACACAGATGAGAAAAATATAAAAAAAAATTATATTTACCTGGTCATTTTCACCTTCAAGAAGCATGATAACAGCTTTCTCTGGATCAAATTCTGCATCATGTAAAGCTACTGCTGCTTCATCATAACTTTTGCCAGTTGCTTCCATAACCTGCATATTTGTTAAACAATCTGATAATGAAGTTACAAAGTATACATGAACAAAAAGCAATCAGGATGAATGAATTTTCAGATATTTCTTTCATTTACTTTTTGTCACGGCTTTCCAGGATTAATTCATCTTTGCAAGCTCCCAACTAATTTTTGCTGAATATCTACAGAGATTCTCTATGGGAATTTAATCTAGACTGACTTATATCGTACTATCTATATTATCTTTTGTGTGTGTGTGTGTGTGTGTGCGCGTGTGTGTGTGTATATAAAAATACACTTCTAGGAAAATTCAGTTTTCAATACTCTTGATCATTTAGACAGTGATCACAAAGGTTCAACACCAGTTCTACTCAACGATATCACTTCTACATTTCACAGTTCTTGGCATGCTGTTAAGATTGAACTATTTCTCCACAACTACAAAGGCAACATTCAAAAGCATTCTTTACAAGCTCAAAAATAGACTTCACAAATCCAAATCTCACATCAGTCTGAATCATAGCTCCCATATTTTATCAATAGAAGCTTCAGAACACATTTTAATGAGATAAAACCAGTTTCCCTTTGATGATTGTTCTGGAAATTAACTGTCAGCAATTCTGAACTCTTATTATGGACAGCATATTTTAGCAGTATGTCATCTTTGTAGTAAACTGTAAGCTTGCCAGGCCTTATTTCTTGCAGTTGTACCCATTTGGTAGACAAATTCTCTTTATCATAGATAGTGATGTCTTTTGTTCCTAGTTGAAATGATCAGTATATATTCTTATAGTTTTGAATGAAAAACATTGTCACCAACAAGATACATTCTATTTTAGGACAGTTATATAGCAAGCTATATTTTATAAGACTCACAATTTTATCCTTGTGTCAAGGATGCTTGGATTTGCTTAACTTCATAACACCATCTTCCTGAGCCATCCATGGAAGTTGACAGTGTTACAAAGTCATAAATCTTTTGGTTGCAAATCCAACTGTTTACCAATACTATAAGTATTTTACTGTGGGAACTAAGTAACCTGAACATTTTGGCATTTCCAATTTCATGTGATTCATTGTTGGTCAAAAAAAAAAAAGAAAAAAAAAAAAAATCAAGATAGAGTGACTGTTGAAGCAACACAACCATCATGCTGCATCCATACCCTACACCAATGTAATGGTGGGACTTGTTTATCTCAAAGTTGGGTGGGTGGATTATTCTGACCTCACTTTACCATAACAAAAATTTCTCAAACTATGCCCGATTTTAATAATTACAAAATAAATCATTTCCCTTAATCCAATTGTATGCTAAATTAAGTTAGCAGTAGTACATGAAATATAGCAGGTACAAAAGTTTATACAGGTTAATCCATAAAAGAAACATCTTATTACAATTCATCAAGATGTTGTTGTCAAGACATAGTAGCTTAAGAACAGCTAGAACTGCAGCCACCAAATTCTCTATAGTTACTAATATAACAGAGTTACTGGTGTGGATTTTACCAGTAAATCTAAATAATAAATGTGAATGTCAGCATGTCACACTTTTTCAACTTTACTCCTCGAGGCTGTAGCCCAACATAACATTTTGGAATCAGGCCAATTCCATGAGCAAATTAAAACATTCCAGGCTGGATCTAAACCAGCAATTCTGAAATTTGGGATTTTTATTATTTTTAGCAATTATTATTTTGCAATTATTTTTTTTTGTACAATAATTTTCATAATCTTGGAAATAAATTTGGGAATTATCAAAATTGCGAAATCCAGCAAAAGTCACCAATGAAATAAAAAAAATGTTTGTAGGGAAACTAAGGACCTACATATATTACATTGTCTTTAAATTAAGTGGCGGCAGAATTATCGTTGATCTTCTCAAAAGGTAAGTTTAAATATTAATGCAATAATTAAATGCAGTGATCAATTTTGAGTTCTCCTGTAGTTTGTTGCCTATCGTAATTACTCTTGAGATGAAGGCCCAATCAAGATCCCTCTGTAGGAGCTAGCTTAAATGCCACCCAATAGCTAGTGAATCTATAATAATTGGTAGTTAATTAGAATGTGAATTCCTGTGGTTGCAATTTAACATGCAGAATAAAGTGGTTGAAGGAGCTAGTGGAGTAGATTTTACAAGAAAGTTATTTTATGCAATTTGGAATAGAAATTGAGCAGTTGATGTGAAAAGAGTTAGCCAAACTAAGAAATGTGAATTTTACAATAGCAGATGTACCTTGGTGCTTGATTTTTCAAGTGAGCTTTTTGAGAAATGAAAAGCATTTAATTACAATAAAATGGATTAATACCTAGAATTGTCTGGGTTTGAACTTTAAATCCCTGATCTCTTATTGTGACCCAAATTTCCCCCCCTCCACCCTTTATGCTTCTCACAGGAACTAGCTTAAAAATCCTATCCTTCAAGCAAGTCTTCAGATAATTTCAACAATCTTTGAACTTTCCTAAACCATAATTTACTTTTAATGATAGATGGATATATTTAAAATATAAACGAAAGGTATAAAGACAAGGTTATTCACCTGTTCAATCTTCTCAATCTTTCGGTTAGCTGGATCCTCATTTTCGGCTCGGTCATTAATCATTTGAGCAATACGGATCTGCTCCGGGGTTGGCTGAAAAAATTATAAATTATCATAGATAAGCAAACCAATGAGAAGTAAAAAAAAAAAAAAAACCATTTATATTTTATTGGAAGCTTCAAGCATTATACATTTTATGATGCATTTCAATCTTCACCAGCCCAGCTTCCTTTTTCTTTCATACAGTTTTTCAATATCATTGAGAATAAGTATGCAAATAAAACAACTTTTATGACATAACCAATGAGAATTTTTAGACCATCAATTCTAAATTTATTTACCTGGCTGGGACTAATATATATATATATATATATATATATATATATATGGGGGAGCATATTCATACACCTACAAATTTTTCATTTATTGTATTTCCAACTAATGAATAAAATACTTTTCATATAATTAATTGTAGACAGATGCATAATAACTAAATATGCATAGAAAACAAAAAAATTTGATTTAGTAGAAATAAATTCTATTTATCCAGTTTAATGGGTGAAAAAAGTATTTGTACAATACAAAAAAGAATACATAATCCTGATTTAATACTTTGTAGAATAGCCATTATTCCCATCTACTGCAACCAATCTCTTCTTGTAGTTCTCAATGATTTGCAAATTCTAGTTGGTATTTTGTTCCCCCACTCTTCTTCGCTTATGGTCTTCAGATCCAGGATGTTTGTTGGAGCTCTCAATTGGATTTAAATTTTCAAATAATGCTAGATTCTCAATTGGGTTTAAATCTGGGGACTAATTTGGCCATTTCAGGACATTTACATTATTTTTAGCAAGCAATTTCTTCATAGATTTTGCAGTGTGCTTAGGAACATTATCTTGTTGGAAGATCTAAATCTGGAGGAAGTTGTAGATTTTCAATCAAAATTTGCTTCAAAAATATTTTAATATGCTGCGGCATTCATTCTACCATCTATTACTGTTATGTAGCCAGTACCTTTTGCAGAAAAACATCCCCAAACCATGATGTTGCCACCATCAAATTTCACTGTTGGAACTGTGTTCTTTTGATTGAAGGCATCGCCATCTTTCCTCTATACATGATTTCAAGAATTACATCCAAACAACTCAGTTTTGGTTTCGTCTGTCCATAATACTCTTTCCCAACATGATTTTTCCATATCCTTATATTCACAAACGAATTTCAACCTGGCATCTCTGTGTCTTTTCAATAGCAGTAGAGTTTTCTGAGGGGAGAATGACTTTAGATTGTTCCTATAAATTTCATTGCTTATTGTTTGTTTAATAACAAATTCATGATGAAAGCAAATCATCCTGCAATTCTTGACAAGTAACCATTGGATTTTGTTTAATTTGATGCATTAATTTCCTTTAAGAACTTGCAGAAATCTTCTGTTGAGCACCTGTTCTTTGGTTTTCAACAGTTTTGAGTTTTTTATACCTTGCAATGAATGAACTGATGGTAGTAAATGGAATATTCAGGTTGTCTGAGATTTTCCCATCTATATATATATATATATATATATATATATATATATATATATATATATATATATATATATATATATATATTTCTTTATATATAAAATTACAGAAAAAAAAAAAAAAAAAAATATATATATATATATATATATATATATATATATACACACACACACAATGGAAACTATAAAATTCAATTCCATGCAATGAAACACTTGGCTTCAACCTATGGGATGGCAGGGGGTAAATGATAAAACTTATGTTCTTATGGCCAAAATTTCATAAAAACATCAAGTGGTCACAAAAATAATATTTGGCAATTTAAAATAAATAAAAAAAAAAAAGCTGTGTCAAAGCTGACACTTCTCTCAAATAATTTTCTAGCAACTGACACTTGGCAGCATTATGACAACCACAACTTGAGACTGTTAAAAATTATCCACTGATAAAAATATAAACATTGGACAGGTGATAAGATATAACAATCAGTTAAAAATTACAAAATATTGCAAATCAAATAAAAGCATTCTCAAAGATCTGGGGCTTTATCACTACATACATAGGAATTTTATTTTTAAGTTTGATAATTTGGAAGGAAATTATGTATTGAAATGTTTTCAGATTTATATCAATTTCAACTTGCATGCAGAAGCACACTTATACATTTACATTATACAAATAAAATAGAATCTCAAAAAGGAATACGTAGCACATTCAAAAAAAGTTTAAAATATTACAACTTATGTGTTCTCAAAAAACAGAGTGCTTGGAGAGCCTTCTGAAAGTAGTTCGCAAATAATGAATCTATACCAAGGAGGGATGGACTTACCTGTACTTTAGGAGGGCCATCAATTTTCATTGCGTTCTGTGCTTGTGTTGCAGTTTTAGACGACTTCTCTTTGCTAGACCTACTGTTGGCACGCGAAGTGCTCAAGGCTGTACTCATCATACACACTTATATACAACACTTATATACAAAACCTAAAAACAGAAAACACAAGTTTGTAATGGAAGCTTTAAAAAAAAAAAAAAAAAAGCAAACATTCTAATAAAAGAGTTGTTTCAATGTCATCAAAAACATTAGCTGTCAAAGAATCTAGGAATAAAGACACTGCTCATAAGTCAGCAAAGATCAAAGAATACAGACTGCCTTTTATTTACGAGTAATGAAAATAGGCAGGGAGAACAGTGTAATCTAATTTAATATGCAAAGATGTCATTCTTCACAGAAAACCCCCATAATCACAATGTCAGAGTCTAATAAAGACTAAAGCTGATGAGAGTACAAACCTGAGAACAGCTGCAGTTAATCTCAACAATGAGAAAGAAAAAGTATTTTCAAAGAGAGGAAAAAAAATGCATCGATCAAGGACAATTGTGTCACAAGTAATTACAGTTTAAAGATAATCTTTAATTCCAGCCAATAAAATTATTTTTTAAAGTCAGGTCTTGTATTTTTATGCTTGAGGATGGTACTATTTTTTCACAAAGAGAGATACATTTCTGATGAAATGCATTACTGACATGCAAGATTAGTTGCCAAAAGTCAGTCAAGATCTAGGTACTTAAACATAGTATATGTGGAAGCAGAACATTACTTATAAAGAGAAGTACAGAAAAGCACAAAGTCATTTTCAGAAGTGGATTAGGACAATAACTTTGCAGCATCCGGGATGAAAAGGAAGGAATATCACTTTAATCAAAGTAGTTTTATGACAGAAACAAATTCAATCTAGCATAAAGTTAACTTCTTAAAGTATTTTAGAGCCTCTTCAGTAAATATTGAAATCCATTGCATTAACTTTCTGTCAAGAAAAAAGTGTTCTATCTATAACCTTCAGAATTCACCCCACAACATCAGAGAATAAATGATAAAGGAATTTTTAAATCCAAGAATTTGACATGATATGTCACCCAGAGAAAGAGAAATAATTTCAATAGTGAAAAACCAACTACCATTGGAGTCTACTGCCTTATGATTATTCTCCCACTCCTAGTGGTATATTAAAAAAAAAAAAAAAAAAAAAAAAACATAATATGCTCCTCTCCCTCAATTTAAATAAATGAATTAAAAAAAAAAATAAAAATTCCATTTCTATTTAACTAACCTGGCCTAATACTATTCATGCCATCTTAAAAGTCCCCTGTGCTCAGAGTTAGGCATTACTCTTTCAGGAACTACAGTATTTGCCTTGTCATCATTCCTTAGTCAAGCTGGTGACAAACCTTCAGATATTCAGAAAATGACAAGCTACACTATGATCTAGATGTCAATCAGGAAGTCTAAGGATGCCATTCCTCTCCCAAATAGTCACCATTACTGTGTATGGACTATTTCACATACATAAATAATGAGATGGGGTGGGGTGGGGTGCTGTATGGTAATCTTATCCAGTCACACCTCAACCACTACCTGCTCTCACACCCAAAATATTTTTTTCATGGCAGATGTTCAGATGAGCTACATTCCTTAGTTTCACCAGTCCAAACCCTTAGAGCTAGGTATGCCATGGTATGCTCACATGGTCGAACCATCCTCATTCCCTTTGTAAGGATGAAGGGCCACTTGGGCTTCTTCACCAGAATTGTTATATTACTCCCAAAAGGATGCTTCCCCAAAAACTACAATATTTTCAAGTCCCAAGCGAACTTTTATCTATCCTGCATATTTTCATAATATGCACTTAATTTCTCCTTTACAGCCTCAAAATGTATTTTTTTTTTTTTTTTTTAAATCTGACATCATTTTCCATTACTATAAACTTATTTATTTACACACACACAGTAGTCTATCGCTATTAGGTGAACCAGTGTACCGTGGGCGAGTGGTGGACCCCAAGATTTTACTCTCATACCCACAATATTACTCCCTTTTTTTTTTTTAATAGAAAATCCATCCTATTTTACCAATTTCTGGGCTATCTTCACGATAGAACAAACAGCAATCATCAGATGGGCCCTAATTTGTTTTAATTAGGCTCCCTTTTTCACATGTTTTACCTTCATTTTGATAATCAAAAAACCCAAATTTTGCAACTTTCACACCTAATCCAATTGTATTGGTAATAATTACATAATTACTTTATATTTCGCATATGATCAAAGTGTTCCTATAATATTGGACTAATTAACAGGAATTCAATCACTGAAATCAGATAGCATGGATGGAGTATAAATAGGAGTACTTTTCTCTGGTTGATCGTGTTCAATTTGACTGCCCAACAGTAAACATCAAGAATCTCTTATAAATAAACGCATAATAGTGCATAATAATTAGGGGTTGCAATAGAGAATTCCCAGGAAACCAGGAAATTGTGACCCCTAGTAGTAATAAATGTCTAAACAAAGTGAACACAGTAAAAAAAAATTTTTTTAAAAAAACTGCATTCATAGATAGGATACGGAATTGTGAAACAAAGGCAAAGATCAGCAGGGACACAGGAGTACTTGAATCCACCCTCAGGGGCTGGTGAAGGAAACCAAGCTGTGAGAGTTCACAGAGATTGTCTATGGGTCTAAAGGACTGTGTAGAAACAAGACCCAGACAGCCAATGATGAACAGTTGGACAAGGCTATGCTCACCTGGTTTGTGAAAGAGCAGAGGCAGGAGACTCCTGTCACGTCCCATCGTGAGGCACCAAGCAGAGAAGTTTCATCACCAGCTCTATGGAGCTGGTGGCGAGGGAGACTTCATTGCCAGCAAGAGATGGCTCCAGCATTTCCAGAAGAGGCACAGCATAGGAGCAGTGAAAATCCAGGGGAAGCAGAGGTCAGCCAACACAGCAGCAGCAGACTCCTTCCCAGCCCAGCTGAAAGTTTCTGGAGGAGGAGGCCCTGACTAAGGAGCAGCTCTACAATGCAGATGAGATGGGCCTCTTCTACAAGATACTCCCTGACAGAACCCTGGCCGTGAAGGATGATATCCACAAAAACAAGGGTTTCAAGCAGGCAAAGAACAGCAAAAAAGCAGCACCACCAGCAAAGTGCCACACTGATGTAGTAGACCACCTCCACTGGGTCATTGAGTATGTGGAAGGGTACCTTATACTTGAGAAAGTTTCTTGGTAGGACCCAGCTGAGAGCTAGGAAGGGCAGGGTACAGAAGCAGCTCAGTTACTTTTTTTATTTTTTTTTATTTAACATTGAGTTGATGAACATTGATGATTTCATTAATATAAATGCATTTTTTTTTTATTTAACTATTGTGCTTATTGTCTGATTTTATCATGTGTATAGCAAACATTATATTTGTGAAAATAAATTTAGTTTCTTATACTTCATGTTTTCCGTGTCTTTTCCTTTTACAACGCCAAACTACTTTTCAAACTAGACCATAATGCATTGCAAGAGGAAGTACTTTTGCAGACAGTTAAAATTTATTGTATAAAAAAAATCTACTGTAAAACACTGAAATAAGTTGAAATTTCAGGTAATTTACTTTTAAGCCTCACACTAAGTATCTAATAATAATTTCCTAAATAGTTATATTTGTGTAAATTTACATGCTTAATTAAAAAATAACAAGAAAATTGATAAAATCTACCTTTTTGGAGTTATCGACAATAAAAGTTCGGACTCATTCACACTGTGGCAACCATTACTGGTATTGTTTGCATATTTGTTGCAGGATAGACATTCACTTGTCTCGATTATTGTGCATACACTGATGCAGACAACACCAATAATGGCTGTCGTTACATAGCCATCAATGACACAAATGAGTCCAAACTTTTATTGTTGATAACTCCAAAACGGTAGATTTTATAAAAATTTGTTATTTTCGTAGTAGGCATGTAAACATAAAATAAAAAATAACTATTCAAGAAATTTTTATTAGATACTTAGTGCAAGGCTTAAAAAGCAAATTATCCGAAATTTATTACAGAAACATTGGCTTTATGCCAATTATTCTGTAATAAATTTCAGTATAATTTTTTAAGGTTCTTTTTGAGCCATTATCTATAGTATATATCATGAAATCGGGCCCCAAAATCAGGTATGTGTTCAACCTTCTATTATCGCCCACACCTACTGCAATTCACTTGCAGCACAGGCCAGCCATCTTGGGCCCCAAGGCCCACTCTATAATAGTGGACTGTGTGCGCGTGATTATATATAACAAAACAAGACTTCTCTAGGCCAGTTATTAATTTTACTGTTTAAGAAAATAAACAATAGCAATGGAAACGTTCTTTAGTGGGACTTCACAGAGTTGGCTAGTTAATAATTTTTACTATAAATGGAGGTAGAAATTGAAATATGTGTATCCACAAAATAAATATATTATCACAGTTCTTGAACAACCTCATTAGTTACATCAGGATCAATTTTCTTGGCTACAAAAGTTTTCCTGATCCTGGTTAGAGCATATACCATATTCTTTAAGAGAATGAACATTAAATGCAACTTTAGGTTAAATTCTGTAATTAGCTTTCCAAAGATCTCCAGATGTTACTTTATCATCTCCAATGATCTTTTTGTTTGAATTCTCTTCGCAGCAGTAATCACTGATTTAACTACATCATTTGATTTTAAGCAGAGTCATTGAATCAGTTCAGAATTTTTTTTATATCATACAATCCCTACCTTAAAACCAAATCAATACCATCCAGCATGGCATCCACTTCAACTAGTCACTTCCCCATACTCTAGGCATACCACATCTAAAACTTATCACCTACACTATCAGCACTTGTACCCACTCTGGCAATATTCCTCTGGATATATCTGTAGCATCTCCCATGTAACACACAACATAGTTATTCAATTTGCCAAAGTATAACACTAGCTGGATCTTATTTTTTAACTGAACTACTACCATCAGCAGCAACACTCTTTCCCCAGGGCAAGAGCTTCTAGCCACCTATTTCTATCAGAAACATTTAACCATTAAATTATATGCAATAATGATATAAACATCAAGACCAATCCATGTTGATAATGTTGCAATGTGGTAGTTTTAATTTCAATGTTATTTAACT